TAGTACTACATATTTATAACTTATGCATGGCTAGACAAATCTTACTGAAATTTGGCACAGCTAGATTATAGTCTGGCACATCACATAGGGTATGTTTCATCCCACATGAACAAGAAATTCCCACACCAACTGGAATATCTAGAATGTTACAAACAACAAAATGAACAACTAATAAATATAAATTATTTGTGAGTACTTACTAAATTGCGAGGTGTTTGATTGGATTATATCACTATCTATCTCAACTTCAATTGTTGGCATTATAGTTGGTAATATAGAAAGGACCTGGGTCTCTTCGGATCCTATAGCCGGAGGTGCAGGTCCACCACCAGTCCAATTTTTTTGGGCTTCTAAAGTTTTAGCATCTCTGGCCTTCGTTTTTAGATTTTGCCACATTTTTTTTAAGTTGAGCAGCATTCGCCTAAAAATAAAACAGATAATGTAAAGAGAGAATGAGGTTATTAAAATCCCAAGAAGGTGGATATGTTATTTACTACTTTATTCTCTAGAATTTTAACTTACTCGCTGGGATACGTTAGGCGAGTTATTGTAGTGGCATGCAATATCCTACCAGGCTTCTGTCTTCTTTTTTTGGGATGTACCATCGGTCTTGCGATTCTCCACTATGTCCATTTTCGTCGTCACCAACTGCATAAGCAGTTGTTTTTCAAATTCACTGTAGGGCTTCTGTTTTTTTTTCTTATCGTCGGTGTTCATGACAATAGTAATCGGTGTCCGTAGATGAGCAAAAAAGGGTCGTCGTGAAAGCAGGTACCAGTCCGAGGGAATATAAGGGTCGTCGTGAGAGCAGGTACAAAATCCGAGTTAATGCAAAAGGTCCAAAAGTATAAAAGAGTTCAAGCGCAGAAAACACCACGAAGCGAAAACAAAGATTAAACAGACAATGAGAGTTTATGAGACCACATACAATGACAAAACAAAAAATCCCATTGTCTTTGGTGCTAATATTAAAATAATTTAATTTTAAGGCTTTTCACTACTAATGAGCACGTAAGTAATCGCTAAGTCATGGATTTTGGTGACTTAGACTATGCTAAGCATTTGCTCAGCTTGAGCTAAGCATTATGACTATAAATTTCAACGCACACTTAACTCGTGAGGTAAGTCTGAGCAAAGTCTAAGTACGCTTTATAAATTTCAGCCTCAGTATCCGCCCAAGCAACATTGTTGTACTCAACCAACCACCAAGAACCATCCGACACATACCAAAAACATACTCCACACAGCTCAATTTACAAGTCCAAACTTTTTTGAACGCCTTCTAAACGACCAAAACCAACATAACATGAACCAAACATACACTACACTACCATACTAACAGAGCTCTACTTAGGCTGGACTTTCGGTGGTCCAGAACCGGCAATTCCTCTCTACTCTATTCATATCGTCATGGTAGTCCCCTGATTTACTCTGTGATTTAAAAATTAATTGAGCAGTAGAAACGAACCCCATTTCTCCACCTGCATTAACAATAATCCATCGCGTTCCAGGAGAATCACTTGTTAGTACTCCGTCCTCGTCACCTTTTTGCCAACATTCTTTCACTGCATATGATGCGTGTATGAATGTTTCATCTTATTGGCCGACCTTCTACACGATTTTGCCTCATAGTATCGATATACTTGCGTCTCCATGCAACTATGTCGTGACTTTCCATTAAAATTTTCCGCTTCGAACCACACTTTTTGTACTGAAATCCGATTCGTTTTAAAATTTTCCATAAAGTCGTTCGACCTCCGACCTCAAAGTTTATATAATTCTTTAATTCAATAAGTAATTTATTCAAGGTAGGAACAACTTTTCTGACAGTATACATTTCATGGATTTTATTTCTTAATGCGCATAAATCGAAATCATCAAGATACACCGTTTTACGTTTTTGACGATGTTTTCCAGGAGACTTGAGTTTTTGAGACGTAGAGGCAGCAACTTCACCTTCTTTAGATATTCTACTCACGGTTTTCTCCGACATGCCTGAAATAGACACATATATATATAAAATTAAATATTTATATAAACACAAGTAATGACAATATTATCGAAATAAATTAAATTTACTGAGATATGTACTTTTTTTATTTTAATTCTTTATGTCAGTAAATTCTTATTACCCATACTAAAGACATTGTGTCTGAAGCTGGTATCCCTATTTTACTAACCTGTCATGGCGGCGACTCGTGCTCGCACTTTATTAAGTCGAATTAACGGGGCTTGGTTTGCCTTTTCTCTCTCACAAAAGGCACGCACCTTCAACACAATCTCACTGCTTTTAAATGGCTTTGGCATGATTAATTTGAAGGATATTAAATATTATCACAAAAACTAACGGAACACTTCACAACAGACAATCTGACAACAACAGATTGACAAGAATGACAAATAATAGTGCCACATCACGGCACAATGCGGGATAACTTACGGTGAACGGGCTGTAGTCCTTTGTTGGTCTACGATTTGTAATACGAATGAAAGAACTAACGTTAGTACCGTAATAAGCTTAGACCTTTTAGCTCTGGTTTAAACCTGGTACTTTTTTTTTATGGGACTAATCCCACCCACACGCCCACCACTGTAAATCCTGTACACCAGGATCCACAGCAGTGACCCACGAACACACCGAGTTATGACACTCGGGAAGTCCCAGGAAGAAATTAAACTGTCTTGGAACCCGCAACGAAATTAATCAGAAGAAAATTGGAAGAGTTGGAAATACAGTAAATCCACTTCTTTCCTTAGCAAAGCGGGAGACAAAATGAAGTAAAATGGGCATACACCCTTTTAAACAGGGAAGCACCACGGCCACAAATATTACGGGTCCTACGTGAACTATGTTTGATTTCTATAATATGTATGGCAGAATCGCCTAAACGCACGGAAAATCACCCTAGTTGACACAAGATCCCCATAGTATACCGGCCCAGATGTCACCTGCAAGCTATTCAGCATTATATTACGTTCATTACGTTCATCACTAAACCTGTTGCTTATGGAAGTTTTTATAATAAGACGGCAACTGTTTATAAGCCGGACGATCACCATTCCACTACGCCATGAGACACAAAAGAAAAGATTACATTACAATCAACACACAAATACAGGTAGTTACCAATAATATATCGAATGGAACAATGACCTTTGATATTTATTTCGTCGGTGCATCGAGAAATCCCTCTTATCACAACATCTTATCAATAAATCTCCCAGCTATGTGTGTAAATTATTCTAACTAGTACGAGGAAGTAGATTTTATGTTTAACAATCCAACTATTATATACTTGTCTTTAAAACCTAAACGAGATTAAAATATGTGTCAAACATTTTAATTACATAAGTATGAGTTCATTATTCATATGAACAACCTAGAATACAATTCTCGGTTGCAATTTTTATAGACTACCCTACAAAAACCAAAGCTTATTATTATCAAGTATGTAATGAAATTTATAATATATGCAATTTCCACAAAATAAATATTATAGAATTATAGGTTCTTATTAGGATACATACAAGCCACCAATGTTAACACACAGAATACACAGAGGGAATTAAATAACGCGGTGGAACATATTTAAAACTTATCGGAATGATTAAATAGATAAGGTAATATTTTACTAACCTTAAGATACTCGCTGTCACATTGCGTTAACGTTGTTAAACTATTATTAGGAAATATATCTAGCCATAGTAATTCTTTACACTATTAAAAGGTTGAAAAGACCACTTCGCACCATCGGTGGTACAAGGGCACAAATGCACGTTTTGTAATTTTTCACTAGAGACATTTTTATGATTTTTGTAGAAAAATATCGAGTTAGTCTGCTTAAATTGATCTTAAGTAATATATATTTTTTGGGTGAAATAAGCCTTACACTTTTGCGAATTTAGGTATGTACTTTACAGGAGAAAAGTATTTATTATTTGTACGATAATTTAAAGAAATAATAATTTTGATGAGCACTTTTGCCCTTTTTGCACCAAAACTTAAATAATTTTGTAATTATGACCCTTTTTTTTTTCCGTGCGGAAATCCCCTCGGATAACACCTGTCGGTGGCATGTCGGACATGAACCGACTAAAACCGCACGCCATCTCGGGTACTAATAGCCGGGGAACCAGGTATACCCTAGAAAGGAAGTCCCTAGTGCCCCGACATACCTCGGGTCATCTACAGACGAGTAGACGACCCCCCCCCCCCCCCCCCGTGTGGGAACCCCATGTTCCCTGTGCTCCCTGGAAGCGAGCGCGCTTCGCAACGCGCTCGCCGCCACCCCGGCCTGCTTCTGCTAGGGTGACAGATGGCCTCACCTGTCACCCCCAGGCCTGCGCTTATGGAGGACGGAGGTCGTTCTGCGACCTCCGGCGCCTGAGTCGCCTGCGGTACCTGGCCCGTTCCCGGGCCTGGCAGGTCGGGAGAGTCCTAAACCTTTCCCGGTCCCGCTCCGCCGTCTCCTTCGCGAGCATAACTTGCTCGCAGAAGAAGACGGCAGAGTTCCACGCACTCTCGCTCCGCACGATAGCCGGAATCAGGCTATCGAGCGAGAGAACTCCCACTCCGATGGCCGCCACGAGGTCTCGCCTCTGCTCAACCCACGCCGGCACTCTGCCAGCGTGTGGAGAGCCGTGTCCACGGTCAGTAATTATGACCCTAGTATCACATTCTTTTTAGATGATTTATGTAATAAAAACAATACTCTATTTTGCAAAAATCTTATATTTTCGTAATCCTCACTTAAAGTACCTAATTTTACGTAACTAACAATAAACTTTTTCTTGGAATGTGTCATTAAAATAAACCATTATAAAATTGTTCATAGAACTTTGGAACAATGTTTGAAGCAATCAGTTGACGAATGTCTTCTTTTTTCCAATCGGGGATCGGCAACTTTTCAGTGTACAACACATTTAATGTAATGTCTTTCAGCTGTTTTCTATTAGCAGTCCGGCCTATTTTGACATCCGCTTCTGTCCAGGTGACTGGATTATAGCTGTTTCTGAATTGGTATGTCTCTGAACTTTTTGTGCGTTTGTCTGTGCATGACCTCGTCAAGGTACCGGGTGGATATCGCTGCCACCTCCCACTCATCGTTCAGTTCTGGTGTTACGCGTGCCATCCTGGGCAAGTCACCTTTGAGCGGCAAACCCCACTCTGTACCAGTAGGGAATGCGCAACTCATGTGGCGCAGGTGGTCATAGAGGCGCATCTTGAGCAGATGGCCCGTGATGTCCATGGTGCAGACCCCTGAGCCGTCAACCAACGTAGCCTGCAGTAACGGGCTATCGGCTATATAACGCCAGACACTCATCCCCCTCGTAGCGTTTATACGGCCATCGCGTGACGTGGGGTCCTCGACCGTACGCTTGAGGTCAGTGGCTAGGGCTGTGAGTACTAGCCCGCCTTTACTGTAGACGGGGTCTTCCTTAACCCCAATCCAGGTAAGCTCGCGCGTCTCAGCTCCGATGTGTATGAGGTCTTGTTCGTTAGCCACGGGGTCAAAGCCCATCAGGCAGTCAGCTTGCGTCGAGCGTGCGGCCAATGTAGTTAAGAAACCGTTCAACTCACGACGTCTATTGGCGCGAGTTGCCGCTCTGGAAACCCCCCTCCAGGCGCGTGACATTCGTGTAACCCAGATGCTGCTCAATGGTTCTTTTTTTCAATCAATGGTTCTTTGTCGACAACGTTTTTATAGGCTTCGCATTCATCGCACTGGTCTTTACGAGGTGCAAAAAAGCCTAAATTAAAATCAGTGTTGAAAATTCGATGGTAAGCGTCATAATTGACGGCTGGTCTGCCAGCTTCTTGTCTGAGTTTTTGATAGCTGCGATGGAGCTCAGCTATAGTCAGACTTCCATCTATGTTTTCTCTAGTCGTATTCGACCTTAGGTAATGGCTCTCCGTTCGTGGGATCGATTTTATGTGATCATGTTTCTTTGTTTTCTTTTGATTGCCTTGCGTTTTGGCGGGGCTAAATGTTGTCTTTCCTTTTGTCTATCACTACCACTTTTTTCAATAATCTGATCAGGTTCTTCTTCATTTTCTTTTATACTTTCTTCTGTTTCCGTAATGTTGTCTGAATTTGTTTCATTAGCAGGGACGTTTTCGTGTGTTTCCTGGGGTGACCTGAGGTGACAACTTTTTTCAAAAATAACATTTGATTGTGATATTTATAAGGCTTGGTGTTTGAGGTAGCAGCTCCAGATTTCTTCAATTTCTTTTTCTCACTCAATGTTCGTATCCAGGCATCTCTAGTCGAATTCCATTTTTTTTATTAAATACTTTCCTGAAACAAGTAAATAATAATATAAGATGATTCTCAATAACTTAGTTAGTTATTATGTGAAAAAAATATTGGAATTGTGATGATCAAAGTAACAAACAAGCAAGTAGTTAGAGATAAACTCGTGATGCAAGATACTTACTTATTCTTTTGCTGCCCGCAGCAATTATCAGAATAAAATATGATATCTTTATCAGGTTGTTTTTAACTTAGTTCTTCCAAAAACTTGTAAACGCACGTTCCTATCTCATTAGCTCCACGTTTTGCGAGACCTTCATGCCAGAAAAAGCATAATGTTGTATCATCGTTGATATTTGTAACCTTAAACAAAAATAAATAAGTAATTCAGTGCAAGAATGACGTTTGATAAATATTAAGTGAATATTTAAAAAAATAGCAACTCATACAGTGAAATTGTAGCAGTTAAGCTTTGAGTTATAAAAGAAAGCTGACGATTGACCAATAGACTTGGTAAGACAGCCTGTAGGTCGAAAATGGCTACTATATTATTCGAATCTATCTGTTTGCTTTGTTCTATGTCCTTTTCAAGTTCCAATCGGGCTAGACTTTTTTCCTCAAGGTATAATTTATGCTTATCCATCAATGGTTAAACTTACTCATGGGTGCGCCCCAACCCTTGTCGCTGCAGCAAGGCTCGAGTTTGTCAATATACTCTCTCTGCTTCCTCCTGTATAGTGCGGTCGTCCACTCCCAGTCCGGTGTCATTCTTTTTATTGGCTCGAGATCTACTGAGCATCCTGCGCCGCCAGATGGTCGGCGTTGCGCTCCGCCGCGCGGCGATGTGGGCGCCGCGTCCTGAAAATCCTTCGTATCTGGGCCTGCTGCCCCGCCCTGGCCTGCCTTCCCTGGCCTGGCCCGCAGCGGCCCTATTGTCAAGCGAGAATGGAGATGTGCGGTAGAGGTCCCCACTGATGTTGACGCTCGCAGCGGCGCGTGCCATCCCTTACCTTGGGTTAAGTATGCCACCTCAAGGTTGGATACGGCGGACACTGAGAGCGTCAACACCGTGTACTCACCCGTTATAAAATTCCTAGAGTGCACCCGAAGACCCCACCCGAAAGGCGGGGCCTGCTGTATGGGGTTGGTTAGTGGTCGGAAACTGCTCACCCACCCGCACTGCAGCCCGACCACGGTCATTATCGCCGTATCGATCCTAAACGAATAGACGTGAGCCTCCTGGTTAATGGGCTTGACGCACATTCTGATGTCGTCAAGCCCAAGTTCCAGGAGGTTCAGCCTGTTCAAAGCTTTCTCTAAGCTGGGGCAATCTGTGATCTCGAGGCCCTCGTGCCCCACCCTGTTCTCCAGCCAATGGCCGGAGACCCCCTTCATGTGTTGCATCCGCTCGTTGTCGACGAAAGTGTATCGTCCCCTCTCCGTGACGTCACTTAGGTTCAAGGCCAGGGGTGTACGCACACCCGTTAGTGTGGTCATAACGCCACCCGCCTGAGCGTTAGCCTCCCACGACAGCTGGGCTCTGTTTGCAATTCCCAGCGCGTACTCCCCGACGGCCGACACGGAGTCTGACTCTTCTCCCGTCCCGTAGACGATCGTGTCCCAAAAGGCACGATCGTTACCCATCATCTCGGGACTGACGGCTTGGTCCCCCTATACCCACCCCCCGCTTCCATTCCTCGTAGAGGCGCCTCTTCAACATGGCGCGCTCCACGTCGTCCAACGCCATTGCAGTACCCTCCTCACTCGACGAAGCCCCCCGTTCACTATGAACGTAGGTTGCGATCCCTAGCCCCGTGATCAATTCGGCTTCGTTCGTCCACGCCCCTACCCTTAGAGCCGGAGCCGTGTTAGCCAACGCCTTTGTGACGAACACGTTATCCGTGAACGTCGTGGCGTGGTCGTGATAGTAGAAGTTGCTTTCATCCGGGTGTGTCGTACACTCCGGCAGTCCGTGCGTTGCATACGCTGGATTTGCGTATGCAGGTGGTAGCCATTGCGTCTCTGCGCCTCCCGCCTCGTCGCGCAGCACTTCGGGCTGCGGGACGAAGCGCATTGTCAGCCAGGCAACCAGCTCGTCGATCAAAGCCCAGTCTACGTTTGGCGATGTCATACGCGTCGAAAGCCACTGTTCCATAGTGACTTTCAATGGTGTCGGGGACCGGAGTATTCTCTCCAGGCATGCCGTTAATAGTCCCCCTATTGGCTGTGAGAAAGGTGCCTCTGGCTCCCTTTCCCTATTGAGCCCGGCAACGGGCATCTCAACACCGCCTATACCCAGTGTCGCCTCCCCTGACGCCGTGACTAGTAGGAACTTTCTCCGCCGGTTATCTATAGTCACACAACACTCATTGCGCCTCATTGCTGTCAGCCGGCTTGCTTCTGCCCCCTCAGGCCCCGTAACAACGAACAATTCGTCCATCTCTACCAGCGGGTATGGCGCTGCCAATACTAGCTGCAGCGCCCACATGAGTTGGGGGTTGCCGGAGCTATAATCTAGTACGACTATCGCTACATCAGGGTCGTCTATACACCAGGACTGGCCGTTCATCAGTACAATGGCGCGCGTTTGTCTGTGCATGACCTCGTCAAGGTACCGGGTGGATATCGCTGCCACCTCCCACTCGTCGTTCAGTTCTGGTGTTACGCGTGCCATCCTGGGCACGTCACCTTTGAGCGGCAAACCCCACTCTGTACCAGTAGGGAATGCGCAACTCATGTGGCGCAGGTGGTCATAGAGGCGCATCTTGAGCAGATGGCCCGTGATGTCCATGGTGCAGACCCCTGAGCCGTCAACCAACGTAGCCTGCAGTAACGGGCTATCGGCTATATAACGCCAGACACTCATCCCCCTCGTAGCGTTTATACGGCCATCGCGTGACGTGGGGTCCTCGACCGTACGCTTGAGGTCAGTGGCTAGGGCTGTGAGTACTAGCCCGCCTTTACTGTAGACGGGGTCTTCCTTAACCCCAATCCAGGTAAGCTCGCGCGTCTCAGCTCCGATGTGTATGAGGTCTTGTTCGTTAGCCACGGGGTCAAAGCCCATCAGGCAGTCAGCTTGCGTCGAGCGTGCGGCCAATGTAGTTAAGAAACCGTTCAACTCACGACGTCTATTGGCGCGAGTTGCCGCTCTGGAAACCCCCCTCCAGGCGCGTGACATTCGTGTAACCCAGATGCTGCTCAATGGTTCTTTTTTTCAATCAATGGTTCTTTGTCGACAACGTTTTTATAGGCTTCGCATTCATCGCACTGGTCTTTACGAGGTGCAAAAAAGCCTAAATTAAAATCAGTGTTGAAAATTCGATGGTAAGCGTCATAATTGACGGCTGGTCTGCCAGCTTCTTGTCTGAGTTTTTGATAGCTGCGATGGAGCTCAGCTATAGTCAGACTTCCATCTATGTTTTCTCTAGTCGTATTCGACCTTAGGTAATGGCTCTCCGTTCGTGGGATCGATTTTATGTGATCATGTTTCTTTGTTTTCTTTTGATTGCCTTGCGTTTTGGCGGGGCTAAATGTTGTCTTTCCTTTTGTCTATCACTACCACTTTTTTCAATAATCTGATCAGGTTCTTCTTCATTTTCTTTTATACTTTCTTCTGTTTCCGTAATGTTGTCTGAATTTGTTTCATTAGCAGGGACGTTTTCGTGTGTTTCCTGGGGTGACCTGAGGTGACAACTTTTTTCAAAAATAACATTTGATTGTGATATTTATAAGGCTTGGTGTTTGAGGTAGCAGCTCCAGATTTCTTCAATTTCTTTTTCTCACTCAATGTTCGTATCCAGGCATCTCTAGTCGAATTCCATTTTTTTTATTAAATACTTTCCTGAAACAAGTAAATAATAATATAAGATGATTCTCAATAACTTAGTTAGTTATTATGTGAAAAAAATATTGGAATTGTGATGATCAAAGTAACAAACAAGCAAGTAGTTAGAGATAAACTCGTGATGCAAGATACTTACTTATTCTTTTGCTGCCCGCAGCAATTATCAGAATAAAATATGATATCTTTATCAGGTTGTTTTTAACTTAGTTCTTCCAAAAACTTGTAAACGCACGTTCCTATCTCATTAGCTCCACGTTTTGCGAGACCTTCATGCCAGAAAAAGCATAATGTTGTATCATCGTTGATATTTGTAACCTTAAACAAAAATAAATAAGTAATTCAGTGCAAGAATGACGTTTGATAAATATTAAGTGAATATTTAAAAAAATAGCAACTCATACAGTGAAATTGTAGCAGTTAAGCTTTGAGTTATAAAAGAAAGCTGACGATTGACCAATAGACTTGGTAAGACAGCCTGTAGGTCGAAAATGGCTACTATATTATTCGAATCTATCTGTTTGCTTTGTTCTATGTCCTTTTCAAGTTCCAATCGGGCTAGACTTTTTTCCTCAAGGTATAATTTATGCTTATCCATCAATGGTTAAACTTACTCATGGGTGCGCCCCAACCCTTGTCGCTGCAGCAAGGCTCGAGTTTGTCAATATACTCTCTCTGCTTCCTCCTGTATAGTGCGGTCGTCCACTCCCAGTCCGGTGTCATTCTTTTTATTGGCTCGAGATCTACTGAGCATCCTGCGCCGCCAGATGGTCGGCGTTGCGCTCCGCCGCGCGGCGATGTGGGCGCCGCGTCCTGAAAATCCTTCGTATCTGGGCCTGCTGCCCCGCCCTGGCCTGCCTTCCCTGGCCTGGCCCGCAGCGGCCCTATTGTCAAGCGAGAATGGAGATGTGCGGTAGAGGTCCCCACTGATGTTGACGCTCGCAGCGGCGCGTGCCATCCCTTACCTTGGGTTAAGTATGCCACCTCAAGGTTGGATACGGCGGACACTGAGAGCGTCAACACCGTGTACTCACCCGTTATAAAATTCCTAGAGTGCACCCGAAGACCCCACCCGAAAGGCGGGGCCTGCTGTATGGGGTTGGTTAGTGGTCGGAAACTGCTCACCCACCCGCACTGCAGCCCGACCACGGTCATTATCGCCGTATCGATCCTAAACGAATAGACGTGAGCCTCCTGGTTAATGGGCTTGACGCACATTCTGATGTCGTCAAGCCCAAGTTCCAGGAGGTTCAGCCTGTTCAAAGCTTTCTCTAAGCTGGGGCAATCTGTGATCTCGAGGCCCTCGTGCCCCACCCTGTTCTCCAGCCAATGGCCGGAGACCCCCTTCATGTGTTGCATCCGCTCGTTGTCGACGAAAGTGTATCGTCCCCTCTCCGTGACGTCACTTAGGTTCAAGGCCAGGGGTGTACGCACACCCGTTAGTGTGGTCATAACGCCACCCGCCTGAGCGTTAGCCTCCCACGACAGCTGGGCTCTGTTTGCAATTCCCAGCGCGTACTCCCCGACGGCCGACACGGAGTCTGACTCTTCTCCCGTCCCGTAGACGATCGTGTCCCAAAAGGCACGATCGTTACCCATCATCTCGGGACTGACGGCTTGGTCCCCTATACCCACCCCCCGCTTCCATTCCTCGTAGAGGCGCCTCTTCAACATGGCGCGCTCCACGTCGTCCAACGCCATTGCAGTACCCTCCTCACTCGACGAAGCCCCCCGTTCACTATGAACGTAGGTTGCGATCCCTAGCCCCGTGATCAATTCGGCTTCGTTCGTCCACGCCCCTACCCTTAGAGCCGGAGCCGTGTTAGCCAACGCCTTTGTGACGAACACGTTATCCGTGAACGTCGTGGCGTGGTCGTGATAGTAGAAGTTGCTTTCATCCGGGTGTGTCGTACACTCCGGCAGTCCGTGCGTTGCATACGCTGGATTTGCGTATGCAGGTGGTAGCCATTGCGTCTCTGCGCCTCCCGCCTCGTCGCGCAGCACTTCGGGCTGCGGGACGAAGCGCATTGTCAGCCAGGCAACCAGCTCGTCGATCAAAGCCCAGTCTACGTTTGGCGATGTCATACGCGTCGAAAGCCACTGTTCCATAGTGACTTTCAATGGTGTCGGGGACCGGAGTATTCTCTCCAGGCATGCCGTTAATAGTCCCCCTATTGGCTGTGAGAAAGGTGCCTCTGGCTCCCTTTCCCTATTGAGCCCGGCAACGGGCATCTCAACACCGCCTATACCCAGTGTCGCCTCCCCTGACGCCGTGACTAGTAGGAACTTTCTCCGCCGGTTATCTATAGTCACACAACACTCATTGCGCCTCATTGCTGTCAGCCGGCTTGCTTCTGCCCCCTCAGGCCCCGTAACAACGAACAATTCGTCCATCTCTACCAGCGGGTATGGCGCTGCCAATACTAGCTGCAGCGCCCACATGAGTTGGGGGTTGCCGGAGCTATAATCTAGTACGACTATCGCTACATCAGGGTCGTCTATACACCAGGACTGGCCGTTCATCAGTACAATGGCGCGCGTTTGTCTGTGCATGACCTCGTCAAGGTACCGGGTGGATATCGCTGCCACCTCCCACTCGTCGTTCAGTTCTGGTGTTACGCGTGCCATCCTGGGCACGTCACCTTTGAGCGGCAAACCCCACTCTGTACCAGTAGGGAATGCGCAACTCATGTGGCGCAGGTGGTCATAGAGGCGCATCTTGAGCAGATGGCCCGTGATGTCCATGGTGCAGACCCCTGAGCCGTCAACCAACGTAGCCTGCAGTAACGGGCTATCGGCTATATAACGCCAGACACTCATCCCCCTCGTAGCGTTTATACGGCCATCGCGTGACGTGGGGTCCTCGACCGTACGCTTGAGGTCAGTGGCTAGGGCTGTGAGTACTAGCCCGCCTTTACTGTAGACGGGGTCTTCCTTAACCCCAATCCAGGTAAGCTCGCGCGTCTCAGCTCCGATGTGTATGAGGTCTTGTTCGTTAGCCACGGGGTCAAAGCCCATCAGGCAGTCAGCTTGCGTCGAGCGTGCGGCCAATGTAGTTAAGAAACCGTTCAACTCACGACGTCTATTGGCGCGAGTTGCCGCTCTGGAAACCCCCCTCCAGGCGCGTGACATTCGTGTAACCCAGATGCTGCTCAATGGTTCTTTTTTTCAATCAATGGTTCTTTGTCGACAACGTTTTTATAGGCTTCGCATTCATCGCACTGGTCTTTACGAGGTGCAAAAAAGCCTAAATTAAAATCAGTGTTGAAAATTCGATGGTAAGCGTCATAATTGACGGCTGGTCTGCCAGCTTCTTGTCTGAGTTTTTGATAGCTGCGATGGAGCTCAGCTATAGTCAGACTTCCATCTATGTTTTCTCTAGTCGTATTCGACCTTAGGTAATGGCTCTCCGTTCGTGGGATCGATTTTATGTGATCATGTTTCTTTGTTTTCTTTTGATTGCCTTGCGTTTTGGCGGGGCTAAATGTTGCCTTTCCTTTTGTCTATCACTACCACTTTTTTCAATAATCTGATCAGGTTCTTCTTCATTTTCTTTTATACTTTCTTCTGTTTCCGTAATGTTGTCTGAATTTGTTTCATTAGCAGGGACGTTTTCGTGTGTTTCCTGGGGTGACCTGAGGTGACAACTTTTTTCAAAAATAACATTTGATTGTGATATTTATAAGGCTTGGTGTTTGAGGTAGCAGCTCCAGATTTCTTCAATTTCTTTTTCTCACTCAATGTTCGTATCCAGGCATCTCTAGTCGAATTCCATTTTTTTTATTAAATACTTTCCTGAAACAAGTAAATAATAATATAAGATGATTCTCAATAACTTAGTTAGTGAAAGGCGAATAAGGAAGAAGAATAAGAAGAAGAAGGTCAATATATAATAGATAGATAGAACTCTTTATTTGTACACCATTTTACAAGAAGCATGATACTTACATGAAAGTGTTATATACAATGTACAAAGGGCGGCCTTATTGCTAAGAGCAATCTCTTCCAGGCAACCATAGGATGGATCAAAATGCCTGTAAGAGATTGCCTCTGAGCGATAAGGCCGCCATTTGTACCTGTCTAACCTAGCTTAAGTTAATCTTTATATATTTATACCTGGTGTACAATAAAGAGATTTATTATTATTATTATTATACTAATTGATAAATTTATTTTTTTAGGTATGCAGCATCTGGGTGTACATTTCAAGAACTTTATTACGTCTTTCGTGTCGGTATGTCAACTATAAGCAATATTATTAAGGAAGTTACACGATGCATATGGAATAATTTGAGTGACGAGTTTATGCGACTTCCTACAACATTGAGTGAATGGGAGAATATAGCAAATGGATTCGACAGAAAAGCAAATTTCCCCCACTGTTTAGGAGCAGTAGACGGTAAACACATCAGGCTTCGAAAACCAGCAAAAAGTGGCTCAATGTACCTAAGTTACAAAGACTTTTTTTCCATCATATTATTAGCGATCGTAGACTCTGACTATCGTTTTCTATATGTTTAGTGTTGGTAAAGAATGTGATTCATCAATATTCAAAGATTCGACATTTTGGAAAATGATGCTAGACGCCAGTTTAAAAATACCAGAACCTTGCCCATTAACAACAGACTTAGAAACGAGAGTTCCCTACGTCATAATCGGCGATGAAGGGTTCGGTATACACGAAAATTTAATGAGGCCATTTAGCGGGACGCATTTGGACAAAAATAAGCGAATATTTAACTATCGTTTAACCAGAGCTAGACGATACGTTGAATGTGCATTTGGTATTCTTGCTAATAAGTGGAGAGTATTCCACCGGCCGCTAGACGTCAACACAACAACAGCTATATGGATAGTTAAGGCATGTACCGTTCTACACAACTTTGTAAGGGAAAAAGAGGGTTTAAACGATGGCTATACATTCGAATCTGAAGCATTTCATTTCAATAGCCTACCTGATGATGAAACGCTACGGGGTGGTCGAAATGCAAATTCAGTTCGAACGGAATTCGAAAACTATTTCGTGTCCGAATCTGGGTCAGTTTCTTGGCAGAATGAAGCTATTTAACAGATCAGTTGCCATTATGGAAATGTATAACCGTACTGTAATTTGAGCTCAGGTGTTAATTGGTAAAATGTTACCAATATGTCTAGAATTTGAATAATTTTAATTTATGGTTTTAAAAATAATAAAAATAAAAATATAATGATGTATTATATTACTCCATACAACTACATAGGCTAATAACATACTCGTATACGTTTAAACGGACCTGTAAAACGGATTGCTGCTTATTTTGTCGGATCGGTATTTTTTACTGGATCCGTAATACTGCATTCTGTGTGAACTCGCTCATACAACTACATACGCTAGTAACATATACGTTTAAACGGACCGATAAAACGGACTTTCTATATGAACGCGCCCTCAGTTGATAATCGACGTGGCATTTTCAACAAAAAATAAACACGATTTAACAAAATGTCACGAACAGAATTCAAAAAATATGACAGTGACATAAAAACTCGACACTGACAGGTCTATAGAAATAGATACCTCTATGGAATAATAAGTTCAAAGATAGTAAATGTCGTGAAAATACACGAATAATAATAATAAAGTATTTACAATAAATACTTATGAAAAACTAAAAAATATAAAAAAACTTCCCTGAACCACATGTGTTTCATGAACGTGCAGAAGCAAAAATGTCTCTCTACGCTCATGAACTATATGTGTTTCAGGGAAGAAAAGCCTTCATCCCTTTTATTTTAATCATTATATTATTTCTAGGGCTACCCTAACTATAAAAAAAAACAACTTATTCAAAAAAGCCGATTAGACTTGCCGGTCAATTCTGCATTTTTGTATTGGGACAGGGCACGTGTTAAAAAATATTTTTTTTAGTCATAATGTACAAACCTTGTAGTTTATTACAGTATACAAAACTTCACTAGAACGTTTTTAGTTTATATTGATATTGATATTGATAGTGATATTTAATGATATTTAATATTTTGTAGATAAACCTTTGTTTTAAAAATATATAATTTATTCTGAAACTAGCGACTCGCCCCTTCTTAACACGGGTGTACAGTATATTACAAATAATATTTTGTAGTGTCTCGTCATGTCATCGCGTCATATCATGTCTCAGTCAGTCCTCTTAGTTCGGTTTAGTATGGTATTCTTCGAAACATATCTGCAAACAAAGTGTGATCTTGCACTGTTTGCAGATATATCTCGATCTGGATTTGCGGCCCCAAATACATAGTGCATTCTTGGTAGCACCCATGCCTACGAAATGGTTCCCAGATAAAATAGGTCGTCGAGAGGGACCCGGACCCACTGACACAGTGGTCACTTGGATTGGGTACTCCACCTCGCTTGATCTAAACGTCTAGACCAATTCTTCGGCAAGGCACTTCCTGAATGCGCGATGTGTTATTTTGCCGTGTCCCGGACTAGTCCTAAATATAATTAATGAGTTTAAGATGGTTAGAGACGTTTAAGATGGAAGACGTTAAGAAGCCGCCGAAACACTTTCTTGTACCATATTTTGTTACGGCTCCTTTCCATTGGATGTGAAAATAAAAGTTGGTCCTTTTTATCTACACCTCCCATGGAATGGTTGTACTCAAGGACTATTTGCGGTTTGTATTTGTAGTGGCCATATTTCTCCTTTCCTCCGACTTTTCCATCGTGGAAAGTTGAAACCATGGCCACTACATTTGTGTCACGCCACATCATTATGAGCAAATCCTCGCAATAGCTTAGCATAGCCTCGCCAGGCCGCAACTCTGACTTGGACACACTTTTAAAGCTTTCAGGAACAAACTCTCTTATAACCCGAAGGGTCCCGAAGCAATCGGTATTATTGCTTTTTAAATATCTCGCCAGTAATGGCGAGTTATAAAAGTTATCCATGATTATAGTATGCCCTTTTCCGAGTAACGGCTTGGCGAGAGTATGAACTATTTGAGCAGTGGCGTTGGTAGCCGGCGGTGGTTTGGCAGAGTCGTCAGTCGTCAGGTCATTTGATATGTCATCTGTCAGGTCGATCAAAATCGAGTCCTGTAAATCTTCGTCAGTCTGTTGTTCTGTCTGTTCGTTTGCCTGTCCTTTCCCGGTGTAAACAAAAAAAATCCATAGGTAACCTGTGGAAGACTCGCATAATTCGTAGGATTTGATACCTAATTTGGCTGCTGTTGTAGCTATTTTTTGGGCAAAATTTACCTGCCATGCCATTTTAGTAATGATTCGTCAATGACGATATCACGTCCCGGAAGATACAGCGTACTGAACTTCCTTTGCAGGTGATCCAGCACAGGCTGTATTTTCCGTAACTTGATTTCATCCTCAGTCATGTTGCCCGTGGTCTGAACTATCGTGGTCGGTGTGAAATGTAAAAGTTTTTTCAGAAGTACAAATGTGTTATGTGTCATTAAATTTTGGAGGTATTTTAGGGTGAGAAAGCCATTTTCCCGCCAATAATCTTTTTCTTCGGCCAATGCGACTAATATTGCCAGAAAAATGGCCATTTCATCCCGGTTGGTACTTTTCCAGAAATTAAGTCGTGAATGGTCGGTCAACTCTTTTTCAATGATTACAGTCGCGTATCTGTTACTCTGGCGCACTAGTAAGTCAAAAAAGTCGTCGTCGAAAAATTTTAGAAAGACATCCAAGGGTCTAACTGTCTCGTCCATCTCAAACGTAGGACCAGGTACACCCTTAAGCGCCCTGTAAACGATCAAATTTGCTTGACAAACTTCACGTTTACATCAAACATTAGCTTAAACGATCAAACAAATTAGCATACTTGCCACAACACTCGGTTTTCTCCTTTCCTGACGTGGCGTCGTCGTGCCGAGCGCTTACAATGAGTAATACAGATGACGCATTTTTGGCGTTGACTCTAGCACTGTGTATTAAGAAAAAAAAAGGAGACGGTGGAGTAGAGAGAGAATGGTTGAAATTAAGAGATAAATGTACCCACGAAAATTTGCTACGGGAAATATATACAGAACCTGAAGACTACGCCAACTTCCTGCGCATGGACCATAAAACTTTTGAAGAATTACTAGCTATACTCCGTCCTCGCATTGAAAAAATGGACACAGTTATGCGCAAATCTATATCAGCTTCTCAAAGGTTATCAATAACTTTGAGGTACCTGGCTAGTGGTGCAGATTTCGAAGACTTAAAATGTCAAGCCTGCATTGCACCTCGAACATTGGGCGACATTATCATTGCAACTTGCGAAGCAATAAATGAAACACTAAGCAACAATATTCAGGTAAGGTTTTACTTAATTAAATCTCAAAACATATTAATTAAAATGAATAAAAATTTTGTAAAAATTCTGCTGCTGTCTCAGCTTCAGTTGGACCGTTTGTTTGTGAGTCTGGGTTTGGAATACTAAGTGCTCTGCCTCATTAAGACGCCATGGCGACGTCGCCAGCGGCGCAGACCTGGCTACTTCTGGCATCGGAAGGTCGCCAAGTCGAGTGGCCATGGCGTCTCGACAGTCAGTTCGTTTACGTCGTCAGGAATGGATGTAGAAGAAATCGCACTTTTCTTTGTTATCTACGTTGTAGAAAAATAGAAAAAAAAAAAGAAACTATGGGTTTATCCTTTTATATCAGATCGAAGCCGAAGTGGTATTTTTTTTAAACTGTATGGAGATTTACGAAAATATCCTGAAATTTTTTTCAATTACACGAGAATGTCAATAGCATCTTTTGACGAATTATTGAACTTATTTATTTATTTATTTATTTATACATCATGCACTTTTGGTGCATTGGCGGACTTAATGCCTAAGGCATTCTCTACCAGTCAACCATTGGGTGATGCAAAGAGAACAGGAAGTAGGTGCATTTTGGTTAAAGTTAGTTGATAGTAGTTATAATATCAAATACTCGTACATAAACCTATCATACCCTAGAACCCATACACATAATACATACGTACATACATATACATAAATACATATAAACTTACATAAATACATACATACCTAAATAAATACCATTAATAATAGTAGATGATAATCATACGTCAGTTGATTCTGCCAGTTGTTTTGCAAAATACTGCTTCACTTTAAGCTGCTTCTACACATAGGCCAGCGCATCGACCAACGCGCTGGCGGTGCGCTTGCCAATGCGCTTGTGAGTAAATCCACACATTGGAAGGTGTGTGGAGGGATTCAAAATGGATGTTGAGTCGCTAACAGCTGCAGCTGTATATTTATTCACAGCTTATAATTACTTTGTATCTGTGTACAAGAAAAGGGTGATAAAAAAGAAATGGAAAAAAAGAAGGTGGTGGATGTTAACAATACATCGAAACATAACAAGGTAAAATAATTTTGATTAATAATATGAAAAATAAATATAAAATAATATGAAATAGGTAAGTACTTATTTTGTTGACAATGTATGATGAATATAATACTAGAAATAAACTTTCGATACTCATACACAAAGCTGATTATTATCATGAGTAAATACATACCTTAGCAGGCTGTCAGTGAATTAAAAATTACCCTGCATAGGTATACATTTTTGTGGTTTACATCCGCGAATCTGTTTTTTTATTTGATGCAGGAGTAGCATGCATAAACAGCTGGCAGAGCCATCAGGAGAGTTTGATAATTTTGTTCGGATGTCATTTAGCCATTTTGAATACTTGCTACAAAAAATATCTCCAATGGTTGCCAAACAAGATACAAATTGGAGGGATGCGATTCCTGTGAAAATACGACTGGCTGTGACATTAAGATATTTAGCTACTGGTGACTGTTACAAGAGCTTGCACCATACTTTTAAAATATCAAGTCAAGTTATATTTAAAGTTATTCAAGAATTATGTTCAGCTCTCAATATAATTTTGAAGGGTTTCGTAAAGGTAAATAAAACTATTTTAATTTCATTACAATTACTCTTTATTACAAAAATAACACGGTATTTATTATTACTATAAAATTCGCAAGTAAGTAAAATGCAACAGTAGGTATATCTTTTCTTCATTCTTGGTCCGTGCACGATTTTTCAAATGCTTCGAGCAAGATATTAGTTGATCCTGGTTGAACTATTTCTTAAGATATTACATGAACTTTGCTGGGTACATATTGACTCTCATGCAACATTTCTTGATGGAAGCTTTGTGATGATGAAGGGCGATTTGTTGTTTGCTGTTGATAATAGTACTAAATAGACTGTTGATCGACCGGTAATGTCTGATGTGATATGTCTTGCGTTGTTGGTCTAGTGGGGGAACTGCGTGATGATGAAGGACGATTGATTATTATTTGCGGAGATGTATCAGAGTACAAAGAACGCTGTTGAATGAAGTGTGAGCTCGGAGAGATGTTTCTTGGCAGCGAATCATTCGAGTAATAGGAACCGTGTGCCGATGAACTGCGACTGTAAATAGGAGACGAAATAGCGGGCTGCAGCACTCGGCCGCTGCTGCGATGACGTTTGTTAATGATCAATCCATGGATTTCGTACATTAACTCATCTCTTTCCTCTTTAGGGAAATCCCTGAGCTGTTTTGCTAGAAGTTTACAAAACAAACCAGTGTCATCATTTTCTTTGTCTTCTTGATGTTTCTTACTTTGTAACTCGCTATTTAGTGTACTGAATGCAATGTTCATGTGCTTGTTGGCTTCCTGTAATTCAGGCGGATTTTGTGATCGACGTTTCTGTACCACTTTAGAAGCAGTTGCAGGGTTACTATTCTGTGAAGGATATTGTAAGGCGCTGTTTCCTGCATCGCTATTTTGCACTTCTGTTGTACTGTTACTTCTCCCAACATCAAGTTCATCTGTAGTCCAGTCATTTAAGCTTAAATTAGGTAAGAATCTCGGAATTCGAGATACCCAGCTGTAAGTCTGTAAATACTTGTATATTGACACCCTAAAAGTTGTCTCAAAACCTACATATGGTAGGGTGTAAGCAACTATTAAATTTCAAGGTCAAAAGTCACAAAAATCGGTTTATTGCGCTTTTTTTGGAAATATCTCATTTCCTATGGGTTTCTGCTATTTGTATTCATTATCAATATTGTAGAATACAAAATTCTCTACAAATTTTGTTTAAAAATTTTTTTTATACGGTGAACCGTTTTCGAGATAGAGGGCGGAGAGCGCGCGGCCACAGCATCACTTCAGGTCAACCGGTGCCTCCGGTCGAAAACGCGCCATATATAGTTGATGAACATTGGATACGACTGGGCCCTACGAGGGCGTCTCCCCCCCGGGCTGGGTGTACTCTGCTACGCAGATGACACTTTAGTCACGGCCCGGGGGAAACAACAACCTGGAAGTTAGCCCTCCGGATTTTATTGTTGTCTAAAAATACATTTAATTTTAATAATTGATTTTTATTAGGTAGTTTTTTATTGTTAATTAATAAATTATATTCCGGAAAAGACTCACGTTGCGACTGAATAATAATACAATTTAATGAATATTCTAATTCTTCTACAGACAAAGGGGAAGAGCACAATGGTTGACCCTTACATTTATTAATAAAACGAAACACATAACATATAGCACGTTGCAATCTTAACAAATTAGAAAAACGTTCGAAGGCTATCACGCCTGTACTTATTTCTTTATCATTGTGACAACTAACTAAACAGATAGTAGGTTTCGTTTCTGGTAAATCCCAAACCGCCTCCGACGTTCCTATGCTGGGCCAAAGCACTGCTGTCCCGTTGTAAAAACGATGGGCCTTGCCACCATAGATCAAGGGACTACAAAGCGATTGCGTCCACTCCTCGACATATGAGATCAGCAGGGTTCTCATGAGTGGGCACATGTCTCCATGTACAAGAATGCGTTTGGTCTAAGATGTCTGCAACACGATTCCTAACAAAAGTGTTCAATCTAATCGGCAGCATCTTCAGCCAACCCAGAACAATCATAGAATCTGTCCAAAAAACTACTCTCGAGGCTTGAGTACGAAGTGAACTAGTTACCTTTTTGTATAAATGGGTACCAACGACGGCAGCACAAAGTTCAAGCCTGGGGATGGTTATGGGTTTAATGGGAGCGACACGACTTTTTGCGATCATAAGGCGAACCGTGATATTACCTGCTAGATCGACACTGCGTAAATAGACACAAGCACCATAGGCACGTTCCGATGCGTCGGTGAAAATGTGGATTTCAAGTTCTTTGCACGAGTCACAAACAACACGACGAGGAATATTTAAGTCACGAAGTGCTGGTAACGCTTTAATTAAGTCAACCCAACGAGTGACAACCTCAATGGGCAACTGTTCATCCCATGACAATTTTTCAAGCCACAGCCTTTGAAGCAACATCTTCATACGAATAACGCACGGCGATAATAATCCCAAGGGGTCAAAAATGCGAGCGATAACTGCAAGCATGTCTCGTTTTGTATTAATCGGAAAACATAACATATCAGTTTGAGTCTGCCACCCTAGTCCTAATGTCTTGTTGAGCACATCGCCTTCAAAGTTTAAATCGAAGAGAGGCTCGGACCGGTCCGCAATTAAGGTGGGCTCATTGGACTTCCACTTCCTGAGAGGCATACACGCAGAAGCAAGAGCTTCAGTGACCTTACAACGCAAGTTATAGGCATCCTCAAACCGATCTTCACCTGTCAACAGATCGTCCACAAAAAAATCGTGTAAAATAACTTCAGCGACCTTTTTGTCAGTACATTCTAGTCCGATTTGTTTGAGACATCTTGTGGCCAAGTACGGAGCACTTGCAGTACCATACGCTACTCTATTTAATTGATAAACCTTAAGGGGACTAGATAAATCGTCACGCCATAAAAATTTTAATAGCTGTCTGTCTGAAGGATGTACAGCTATCTGCCTATACATCTTCTCGACGTCTGCAGGGATTACATATTTATACATTCTAAATCTGAGAAGAATAGATATTAGATCGTCTTGAACGGTGGGCCCAACCATCTGTATATTATTTAATGAAATGCTAGAAGAAGTAGGAGCACTAGCATTAAAAACTACGCGTAATTTTGTAGTAGTGAAAACTATATAAGTAAATAAATAAAATTATAATAGTATATACTATATTTCAAAATATGCAGAAATGCTTCTGTGCACCACCCACCAGCTAACACCACACAAAGTTAAATTAAAACAAAAAAAAAAAACAAAACTTTAAAACAGTGTTAGTAAGCATAGTGAAAATAATACGTCTATGTTAGTAATGCATTTCTGAACGTAACTCGCCGGACAAACGTCATTATATCAATGTCAAATTTAATGTTGACAAGATGTGTTGATGTTATTACATAAACAATTATGGGTAATATATATGTGTGACAAAGCTAAAAATATGTAAAAATAACTGTATTGTTTACCTGCCAGTCATCCAACGAGTTATATGCAGAAAAATGTTAAGTGAACATCGATAAGATGGATTTATAAAAGTAAATTTATGCCTGATAAATTATATTTTGACCGGACTTTTCTTGTGCGGGCCAGGAGGGATATTTTTCTTGGTGCCACTTCTACTATGGGACCCTGCTGCATGAAGAGATTTTGGATGCTTCGCCATCAGGTCCGACAGTGCCTCAATGGTAGTAATCTTAAGCCGGTTGCCGTCAGGGACCTTAATTATTATTGTGCCGTCCTGCGTCCAACATGCACGGGTACCGAAATGATGACCGGGCTTTGGCAAATACTGTTTGTCTTGCTTTAGTGAGGAATTCACGGATAGAAACGATCGAGCCCTTGAGTGCAGTCTTAGCCCTCCAAACAGCTGACCGGAGTTCCGAGCTACGAAACCTCATCAAGATGGGCCGGTGATGATGAATTCGGTGTCCCAAGCCTGTGGCAGACGGTGAACGACTCTGCAGAGTATGTGTTCAGTTGAAGCTTGTTTTTGACAATATCAAGCGCCATTCTGCCACAGTCTCCACTCTCCGACTCTGCAACCCCCATGAGTAAAAGTGCCTTGCGACGATGCCTTGTGTCAATAGCGTCAACAGCTTAAGAGCATTCACTTATCTGCCTCCGTAACAGTCCCAGCATACTGTATAACAGTTCCCGGAAGGTCCGAAACTCCTCAGCAATTTTTGCAACTGTGTCCTTTGAGGTGCCCGTGCATTGAAGCTGTGACTACAAATCCGCCATTCGTTTCGCAAAGCACTCCTCCAGAGATTTTTGATCAGCTTCAATGTTCACTAACTGCGACATGTTGTTGTGTAGTATAGTGCTGGTAGGTGGTGACTATCAATTGTCTAAGAATCACACATAAACTTGCACAAACAAGAACAGTGTAATTTTGTGATTCGATAAATAAATATTTGTATTAGTTATGAAGAAACTGTAGATATTTTACATTAAATGTATTTAAGAACAAATAGTTTTACGTGTGCACTTTTTAACACCTACCCACAAATGTAGAAATGATTTAACTAAACAGGATACGATATGTAGAAAATCGATAAGTCAGGAAGAAAAACTATTTGTATCATTCAGGTAAGTAGAATTTTAATCAAATTTATGAAAACGAAACATCTAAAGTTAATCATATATATATCTAAAATAGATGAATCTTCTGAAGCATTTGTCATATTTGACGGTAGTGTGCTAAACGGTGAACTAGATAATGACTCAGTGTTGTAGTCCATCATGGCTGGGTTTCTCCGCGAACAGTAGAATATCCAGGGTGATAACTTCGTGACGCCGGCGGTTCTGTTTGTTCTGTTTGTGCATTATACCGTCAAAGCTACTGCTTTGACGGTATAATGCACTATCATCAATGTTGGGCACAGAGCGGGTTGCTTCTTCAAGAATTGGAATTATTTTAATTTTGGTTGCCATTTTTTTTGAGGAGGCACTTTTTTTAAAGGGCTAACTAAAGACATCATGAATAATCTTTCTTCATCTTGATTTACAACTTCATATTGTTCTCTACTTTTGATGGATTTGTTAAGGACTTCTAAAAATTTGTCATCTTCAGGTGCAGTCTTCTGTTTCTTTTTCATTCTTTTTGGACAACGATCTTGTTGCAAGTCTGGATCTGTAGCTTCAACATCAGGATCTGTAGCTTCAGACTCTTTTGATGCCACAACTTCAGGCTCTCTTAATGCTACAACCTTCTGTAGAAACAGAAGTTATTTAACAAAAATATATTCGCTTTTACGTGGTCCACGACCCGTTCCGGACTTTAGAGATTTTTGCCGGTTCAGTTCTCGTGTGAAGCAACCACGGATACTTTTCCACCTTTTTTGTAAAGTTTCAGCTGAAAAAAATAAAGAAGTTTAGTATAACCATTCATCAATCAATCAAACAGCGTATTGCAGTCCAATAATGATGTTCATTTTTTATGATATCTGCATCTGAGGTTGTTGCAGGAAAAGGGCCAAGAACATCTATAATGTAACCATCAGTACACACAAAAAGGAAAGGCTTTACAAGATTGCGATATTTGTGTAATGAGTAAGTTTTCTTTTGATGTAAATAATTGGAACTTTTTTTGATGTACATATATGTACCATCGGCAATTATGATTGGCCTCCTATCTTCACCCCCATAAAGCCCATTTGGAATAAGGAGATTTCTTTGAGCTATTTCTGCTCGGGATATATGATTTATACCCACATTTCTAGGAACTTAATCCTGATTTAATATTTCGCGGGCCATATTCATGAGCCGCTCTAACGTGCTTCTTGGCACTTGCAATAATGCAGACATGCGTTCGTCACTATCTCCTGTTCTTAACGTCATCAAATAAGCAGCAAGAGCAAAAGAACCCCTATGTTTATTTGAAAGTCTTGGAACTTGAGACAGAATTTGTTGGTATTGGCCTTTTGTTAAGCCTACATAATAATGTAGAGTATGGTCAGGCATACTCTGAATATTATCAAAGTCTAAATGACTATGCATATTATCTTTCAATAATGTAGCAAAATCTTCAATTTGTGCTGCACTAAATGTTTTAATTAATTGATCCTAAAAGTAAATCCCAAGAGTTACTATATAAATGGTAGTCACAGATTCTACATTCTGGAGGAACATAATAATTGTACTCACAAAAAAAGACGTACTCGTAATATTGATGGAACAGTGAGTCGATGGGAATCATTACAACCAGGAAAAAAACATTGAATTTGTGTAATTGGTGCTCTTACATAATTACGCAGCAGTATACTGTCTGATGTATCTAAGCTTTGTTGTTCCGGATGCAATACATCGCTAGCTACTTCAGATTGCAACGAGGACAGGCTAGATGGTTCGGAGGTTTCCCGGTCTACAGTTGAATGTGATGCTGCTCTATCAGCTTTCGTCGATATTCGTAACAGAACTTACCTAACCAGTTCCAAGAAAATAATTTTTTTTCGTTGTTTGGTAACTAAACTCGGTTCCAAAAATAACGGGTCAGTCACATAAACCCGAATATCTCCCGAACTACGTATGCCATCCTAATGAAACGAAGACTGTTCAATTGAGAATTTAATTATACAGATAAAAAATAAAATAAAACTTAAATCTAAACTCTCTAACTCTTAACTTATCTTTAAATTTAAAAAAAAACTAAAGTAGTCATATTTTTCTTAAGATAACATTTTTTATGATTGTTTTTCTGCTGTTTTTCATCACTTTCTTCATTTAATACTTTGTATTGCCTCCACGAGCTCTTCTGACAGCTTCCAGGCGATTAGGCATGCTGTACACCAAATTTCGGAGCCGGTGCTGAGGAATACCTTCCCATTCCTCCACCAGTGCTTGTTTGAGCTCGGGAAGCGTGATTGGTGGGGGGTTTCGACCTTTCACGCATCTCTGAAGCTCGTCCCAGGCGTGCTCGATGGGGTTTAAGTCCGGGCTTCGCGCTGGCCACTGCATGAGTTCGATACCGACCTCTTCAAGGTAGTCATGTACAATTCTAGCGGTATGAGGACGCGCATTATCATGCATTAATATGCCATGCCGGTCCATCCTGGCCATGATAGGACCTACATGTTCATTGAGGATCTCTTCCACGTACCTCTCTGCATTTAGAGTTCCATTTTGAATGAGTACCAGCTCGGTGCGGGCCTCAATAGAAATCCCAGCCCAAACTTGTACGGAGCCTACACCGTACGCCACTTTTTCCTCCACACACGCTTGATGGAAGCGCTCCCCTGGTCTGCCTACCATCATGCTTATAAAGCATGAATTTAGACTCGTCCGTGAACATTACCCTAGACCAATCGTCTAGTGTCCAGTTTAGGTGCTCGCGCACGTATCTCTGTCTTGCAATTCGATGTCCCCGTTCCAGTTTGGGGCCATTTGCGGGCCTCAATGGTTTCAAATTTGCTTCAGCAAGACGTCTTCTTACTGTTTGAGCGCTTAAATTGCCACCTCCAAAGCGAATAAAGTGAGTTTTTAGACCAACAGCAGTTTGAAAACGATTTCGGAGCATTGTAGCCACCAGTTTGTCTTCCCTGACCGTTGTGCATCTTGGTCTGCCATTTCCTGGTCTTCTAAGGTGTGATCCGTCTCTTGGTACCGCTGGACTACCCGCTGAACAGTCGACAAAGATACACCAATGTTTCTGGCTGATTCACGGTGGCTCCGCCCAAGTTCCAAAAATGTTAGGATACTGGTACATTCCTCTAGCGTGACTGCCATGCTTCACCTCACAGAATAATAATTATGCACGTGGAAGACGTTCACGATAATTTTTTTTGTGACAGAATTGAAATGGAAAGCATCTATAATGAAATGAAACAAAAATTTTGTTTTTGAAAATAGTCATTTTTTTAAATTTTGTTTTTCTAATGAAGTTTTTTTCATCAACCAGTTTAAATAATATGCTATTAGAAGCGCAACTAAAAAGTCTTTATTCTGTTTTTTATTTCATTGATCTAACTTTTACAGTTCTGGAGGTATTTCAATTTTTGTGACTGACCCGTAATTTTTGGAACCGAGTGTAGTTGTGGGAGAAGAATAATTATTCCACTTTGGTAACTTGACATCCCTAACCAGTTACAAGAGGAGATTTTTCATTCGCTGTTTGGTAACTAGTTATGAGAGAAGAATTATTATTCCACTTTTGTAGATCAAATTATTTCCAGTTTTGTAACCCGAGATGTTGTGCCGGCCATACACGCCACGGTCTACCGAAAAGGTCATCTATGCAGGTATGCCTGCGCAGGTCAACCGAACATTGGTAGCGTGTATGGGGACGTTCCGGTGTACCGGAGCGGTCTTCAGTTCTTTTGCGATGGCATCGAATGAGGACGATGACGCGCTTTCATTGCTAGGCCTTGCTTTAATTTTGAAGATAAAAGATACAAAAACAGTGAAAAGGAAGCGAAAAAAGTCGTGTAAGCATTGGTTATTGAAAAGGAAAACATATAGTCATGTTAATTTATTGAATGAATTAAAATTTGAACCAGAAGATTTTAAAAACTATCTCCGAATGGACGAGAAAACATACCTTAAATTACTTGAAATGGTTACTCCTATGATAAAAAAAGAAGACACAGTTATGAGAAATAGTATTTCTGCGCACGAAAGATTATCAGTTACATTGACAAAACCTGACTATACATTAGTTTGCTCCTATCGCCCACCGTGCTTTTCAGATACTAAACCATATCTTGAATCTTTAGATACGGTTTTAAGTAATATCCGTACTAAAAATATTATTTTTACTGGAGATATCAACATCGACATTACACCGGAAAGCCTAAGTCAGTCTTCGAACAATTATTTAAATCTGATGGCAGCACATGGCCTAATGCAAGGTATCACAAAACCAACTAGAATGGGTAGAACATGTTTAGATCACTACATGATTAAATGTTCCAGTAACTGGAAAACGTTGGTATTTGACCACTTAATTACAGATCACTCGCCCATACTGCTCCACATAGAAAATTCTACAGTAGTTAAACATAAGGTTGAACACAAAAAAATACAAATCGACTACAAGACTATTAGTGAGTTACTGACTAATGATACTTGGGTTGACTTGTATAACACTTATGACACTAATATTGCTTCGGAAATATTATTGACCAAACTGTGTAATATTGTATCAAAAAACACCACGACGACAATAACTTCTAATAAACATAGACCTTTAAAGCCATGGATAACTGTGGGGGTTGTTAAATGTATTAGAAGGAGGGATAAACTACATAAAATTGCAGTACGATCTAAAAATGATACGCAACAAATGCATAAATACCATAAATATAGAAACACTTGTAATTATATAATAAAATGTTTAAGGCAAAAATATTATCAAGAAAGATTGCAATCTTCTAAAGGCAATGCAAGAGAGACATGGAAAACAATAAAGGAAGTGTGTGATATGAAAAGTAAAAATGAAAGAGCTGATGAGTTACTTCATATCGACGATCCACCAGCAAAAGCTCTCAGTATAGTAAACAACTATTTTACCGGAGTTGGATGTACACTCGCTAAAAAACTTCAGGACCTGATTCATAAGTCGGAATATGACCTAGCTCGAGAAGCCAGGAACGGTACAGCTCCGCTGAATTCCATGTCCCTAAGACCTACAGATCCATCTGAAGTTAAAAGCATTGTTTTAGGACTCAAATCGCACAGTGCTCCCGGGTGGGACAGCATTACAACTGACATTGTAAAACGAAACATCACATCTCTCGCCCCACCTATTGCTTATCTGTGCAATTTGAGCATGGAAACGGGCATCTTTCCTCCAATCTTTAAAAAGGCGGTTGTTTGTCCTATTTTTAAATCTGGGGACAAGCAAGAACCTTCGAATTACCGGCCCATCTCCCTTTTATCAACATTATCAAAGATACTGGAAAAAATTATTAACAAAAGGCTGATAGCGTACTTAGAAACTAACAAAATTCTTAGTGATCGCCAGTTCGGATTCAGGCACCAAAAATCTACAGAAGACGCAGTCCTTACGCTCACCTCTACAGTGGTATCGCACCTGGATAGAGGAGAAAAATGTTTAGGAGTTTTTCTAGACCTGCAAAAAGCATTCGATACTGTGTCCATACCAATTTTATTGTCACGCCTTGATAATGTTGGTATTAGGGGGGTGGTGCTAGACTGGTTTGAGGATTACCTGACTGATAGATCCCAGGTTGTCAAAGTGGCAAATCACGTAAGTGAGGAGTCCACCTACAATTACGGTATTCCGCAAGGTAGTACGCTTGGCCCATCTCTCTTCTTCATCTATGTGAATGACTTGTGCAGCACTGCCTTACCAGGATTGGATATGATAATGTTTGCTGATGACACGGTGTTGATATGCTATGCAGCTACCTGGAAGAAAGCATTTGATATGGCTGCGAGTGGATTGGCTACAGTCACGGCTTGGTTGGAAAACAGTCTCCTGTCGTTGAATACTAACAAGACCAAGTATGTCTGTTTTAGCATAACATCTGTTAGTAATCCTCCTCCTGAATACTGTCTCAAAATACACACCTTTCCATGTAACCGGAGTACAGATAGGCATATATGTGACTGTGCAACACTGACGCGTGTAGCCTCCATAAAATACCTAGGTGTAACAATAGATGATCAACTGAAATGGAACCTCCACCTCACGTCAACAACTTCGAGGGTTAGACGACTTATACATATATTTAAGAGCCTGCGCGTAATAGCTGACGTCCCACTTCTCATACAATCTTATAGAGCGCTATGCGAATGCCTTATAAGGTACTGCATATGCGCCTGGGGTGGTGCCGCTAAAACCTTCATGATTAATGTAGAACGCGCCCAGCGCGCTGTTTTAAAAGTCCTTCTATACCTACCATATAGATATCCCACGACTGCACTTTATGAATATACAGAGGTATTATCTGTAAGGAAGTTATATATTTATGAAACACTACGGAGATATCATAGGAAAACAGTCCCTAACTTACCTGCGCAAAATAAAAGAGTAGAACGGTTTCCAGTCCCTCGTACTAAAACAAGTTTTGCACAAAAACAATACAAATTCTTAGCTCCACATATATATAACAAATATAACAAAATCGGTAAAATTAGTAATTTAAATAACCATGCAGTAAAAAAGGCCATCCTTACATGGTTAAATTCATTAAATTATGACAGCACTGAAGACATAGTCACGAATAAATATACGTAACAAGCAAGGCATTCACATACACACAAAAATTCAAATGCACGCACATACACACATGCACGCTCACACACGCACCCGCTCGCACACACGCACCCCCAGACACACACACACACACACACACACAAACACACACACACGCACATACACACACAAACTGGGTAACTAAAGTTAATATGATGATTTTTATGTTTTTATTTTTTTTTGAATTTCTTTTTGTTTTGTTAGTCTTTTTTTTTATTATTGTATTGCTTATTTAACTATGACATAGAGTTCTTTATATTACGTGCGGAAAACACTGTCTCCTGCAACACAGTTTAAACTAGCGCAGGAGCCAGGGGATTCTCAATCATATGTGTACCAACTTAGATGTCAATGTCAATAAATTATTATTATTATTATTCTCTTTATTTACTTTATATACATATTCCAACCACCAAGACACCGGTGGTTTGGACTCCAAAGATAGGAACCTCCTCACTATACGAGCCGTGTCAAGGAGGACTGCCTTCTGCATCAGACCCTTGATCCAGCCGTCCAACGTGAGCCTCTTAAGGTGTTGGTCGAGGCTCTTGGCTATCAATCCGTGAGCAGATACGACTATCGGAACAATGATCACTGAATCAACATTCCACATATCGACAATCTCGTGAGATAAATCCAAATATTTAATTTGTTTTTCTTTTTCAACTTTCACGAGATTCTCGTCATGAGGAACGGCGATATCAACAATCATTGCGCGGCGCTCTAATCGATCTATCAGCACAATATCAGGCTTATTAGCAACAATAGTCCTGTCTGTGATAATAGATCGATCCCAATACAACGTGGCCCGACCATTCTCGAGAACTGGGTCGGGCACATACCTATAGTATGGCACCTCTATATTCACAAGATGGTATTTAAGGGCAAGCTGTTGGTGTACGATCCTGGCTACTTGGTTGTGCCTGTGCAAATATTCTCCGTTAGCAAGACGAGAACAACCAGAAATAATATGCCTGATTGATTCGCCAGGACGGTGGCATGCCCGACAGATGTCAACCGTACCATCTTTCAGGATATATTTCCGATAGTTATTCGTCATGATAACTTCGTCCATAATCGCACAAACAAAACCTTCAGTTTCTCCGAAGAGGTCACCATACCGTAGCCAAGTCGTAGATGCTTTTAAATCTATCTTTTTTATTATTATTATTATTATTATTGAGATTTCTCGCAACTGGCAGAAGTTATGAGGACCTAAAATTTTGAGCAATTATTTCGCCTCAGGCGCTTGGAAAAATTATTCCTGAAACATGTGAGGCCTTGTATAAAGTTCTTAGAAGAGATTATTTGAAGGGAAGTAATTAAAACACTGTTATATTACAGATAATATTTATTGAAAAAAAATACGATTTTAATTTTAATCATAAAAGTACAAAACTGTCGCGTACAAATTATTCATTATCAACATTGAAATTATTTAAGGAATGTCACTGCCGAATCTGGAATGGATAAAACTACCTCTGTTTCACCGGGCTGATTTCCCGAAATTGTAGGTGTTCTCATTTGTGTAGAGTAAGGATTGCCTTGGGAACTGTTGAGTAGATGGCTAGTTTGAAATGATTGAGAAAGATACTCTGAGTTTTGACTGGTGGGAAATGGAAGGCAGGGTGGGCTAGGACTTTCGGCAGAAACAAAACTTACAGGGGTGTATGCCCTATTGGAAGTAGGAGAGGATTGATATACATGTTGTCGATATTGCTGAGCAGGAACATAGCTTCGTTGATTTTGTTTCAAAATATCTCTAATGTTAATATAGGCGTGCTCGGGAGTGAGGTTTCCTATTTCTGCTTCAAAAAGTAAATCATTAATAAGTTTTTCTGCGACTATTATTTGTTTCGCATCTAAAGCCCTCAATTTCATAGCCACATTTTTGCCAATAATATCGCACCTATCTTCTGTTACAATTGGGCCAGGACGCTTGAAGTGATCTCGTACAGATTCCAATACTTCATTTGCTATGCTTTCATCTTTTCTTTTTGTTTTACAAGGTTTTGGTTGGTGAGATGAATTATTATTTGACGATGTCGATCGGGCCTCGTTGCTGTCGGTAGATACGCTGTTGGATGAATATTCTTCATCGGCATTTGAAGAATCTTCACTCTGAAAACAAATAATTTTGACAGCTATAGATATTTTACATAAAAAATAGCTACGAGTACTTATTGTATAAATGATAAATCTGTTATTTTTATATTACAGTTTCCTACATCTGAAGAAGAGTGGAAAGAAATAGCAAAGATGTATGAAGAACGATGGAACTTTCCTCATTGTCTTGATGCAATAGATGGAAAGCACATAGCGATTGTTCCACCGGCTAATAGTGGATCGTATTTTTATAATTATAAAGGGCAACATAGTGTGGTTCTTATGGCAATTGTTAATGCAAAATACCAATTTATGTACATAGACATTGGCATGAATGGTAGAATATCCGATGGAGAGGTTCTACAAAACACTAAATTTTTTGAAAAATTAGAAAATAGTGATTTACATATTCCAAGCAGTGAATTGTTAACAGGAAGTAACCGAAATTTACCATATGTATTTGTGGCAGATGACGCGTTCTCATTACGCCCCGATATGATAAAACCGTTTCGGCAGGCAGATTTAACATCGCGAGAAAGAAAAATCCTGAATTACAGATTATCTCGCGCGAGGCGCACTGTTGAAAACGCTTTCGGGATAATGGCATCACGATTTCGGATATTTTATACTCATATAAATTTAGAACCCGAAAATATCGATAAAGTAGTGAAAGCATCTTGTGTATTCAAGCATTGTAAAAATTTAATTGAACACTCAAAAAAGTCTTATGCACCACAAAAATGTTTTTATCGAGAAAACTCTGAAAACGGGACTATAATTTCTGAAGGATACACTACACAAAATAGTACCATGGAAAACTTGGAAAGAAGAAACCCAGGAAATACTTTGAACAACGCGAAGATAGTCCGAAACAATTTTATGAATTATTCAAAATCAGGAGGGAAGGGTACCATGGCAAAATGATAATGTAAATTAAAAAATTAGGCTGAACGAGAGGAGTAGGTAGTTCTAAATACATAGTTATTACCGGATCGTTAAAAATGTATATCCGCGGATACGGATCGTTATTTTCGATGATACGGTTATCCGGAACATCACTAATAGTTATATTATAAGCTTTGGTGAAATTTAGAATGACGGTAAATACAAAATAATTATGTGTTCTATGTATTCAACTTAATAAAAAATTATACTACGAAGTATGAAATATTTTACTTACCTCACAACTATTTTCGTCATCACTATCTAAGTTGGATGAAGATTCCCTTGGAGTGCATTGATCATGAACGAAATTGAACAAATCGTAGTACCACAGTTTAATACGGTACACATCATCAGCAGATGCCCCAGACTTTAAAGATTGGTCATATTTCTTCTTTTCCTTCCTAACATTGCTTCTTAAATTATTGATCTTTTTCACAACTACTTCTTTGTTCGCATCTGGCTCAATTTCTCTCAATTTTTCTATGAGTAATTTATAAGCAGCTTCTTTTTTGTCTCGATTATGTTACCTTTTTTTTTCGATTATGTTGTCTTTGTTTTTAATTTGCCAAAGACATGGATGACTTCTATAAATTTCGATAAAATCTTCAAGGATTTTTTTAGTTGAATTTGGTGGCGCCATTTTCAATTGCTGTGTTACGTGGCATTCGTGGCAATACGATGCGAGCGACGAGACAACCGTCCGAATGAAACACTAGATAACAACTGACGCGACCTGCGCAGGCGACCGGAGTACACGCACACACGCACAGGTACACCGTACGGTGTCACTCGAAAGAATCGATTTTCGATTTTGCGCCGGTCGCCTGCGCAGGCTCAAAAAACTGCACAGGTCAATTCCCACACACATTCCGGTCTACCTGCGCAGGCATACCACCAGGTGGACCTTTCCGATGGACCGTAGCGTATATGGCCGGCATAGTTTAGTTAATTAAAACTAAAAGAACACCGATATAACGAAGTTCTTAAAAAGCCTGCAGTATAAGGGAATTTTTACTTTTTTATCTTATAAATGGTCAAGTATGTTTAGTTACTAACCTGGGTTTAGTTACTAAGGGGGTTTTTGAGGTTATATTCCTACTGCTTTATTGAAAACATTTTTAAAACGTTTTAAAAATGTTTTCAATAAAGCAATGTATTACACAATTTATTAGATATTAGCATTTTTTGGAACCTTTTAGTACCTATTGGATTAATAAACAACATTACAACGTTACAACATATGGGGTCTACCAATAAGAACGTCCTGGTTTAAAATTTGAATAAATCACACAATTTTTTATGAAAAATGCATCCTATTGATTTATTTGATAGATAATTTTATGCAATTTATGTTTTAAATAATATATCGGCCAAATGACCGCCGCGGCTCTTTTTGCAGACGGTCACCCGCTCACGCCAATTTTCAATGACGCGGTGCACCATTTCGGCCGGTATGTCGGCTATGGCTCGTCGAATGTTGGGTTTTAGGTCACGAATTGTAGCTGGATTATTGCTGTACACTTTAGATTTAACGTAACCCCAAAGAAAATAGTAAATATAGGTGTTAAATCACACGATCTTTGTGGCCAACTGATCGGTTCATTTCTCGAAATTATATTATTATATATATTATTTTTAAACTGGTCTAAAGTTGCATTGATTTCAGCATCAATTTCATCATAATTGTTGTTTTTCCGTTGTTTGGTTGCCGAATTATTTGATTTAATTTTTGTTTCCTTAACTAGAATGTCTAAAACTTTTGCGATGGATGGGTTTTTATTCCCCATAAAACGATTTATTCTTGAATGCCATCCTTCCAAATGGTTATTACTTCTTATCTGTTCCCCTTCACAACACATTATTTTAATAAAATTTAAATCTTGCAGCCAATAAGTGGTAAAAGCAAACTTTTATATCTGTATCAGGAAATACTTTCTGGATGGCGTTCCATCCTTAAGTGTACACACTACTTGCTCATATTGTTTTTGAACTGGTTCATAATTGTTACAAATTCGATTTTTTAAGTCTTCGAATGTTTTTAAAATTTGGCATTTGGTAACATTTGGATGGCAGTCAGGGTTGTGAGAATTTTCTTTAACAACTTTGTTCACGGCTCGTTATACTCCCTTTGCAACTTGATCTGTTGCATAGCCAAAATATATTGCCACTGACATACGTTTTCCGTAAATGGTATTCGCGTCCATCATATAGAAGTTTCATGCTACCACCTCTTTTAGTTGGTACAAAATCCATTGTTCACGTTTTAATAGGTAATAACTGATAAAATTCACAATTTATTTTTTATCCGTTTGACACACATCACATATAACAACAATCAATTATGACTGTCAGTCATTAATATCTTTTTACGTTACAAGTGACCAATGACTAAACAAAGAGTATGGGCTCATTCCACGTTCATAACTAACAAATAGTTACAAAAGTGGAATAATAATTCTTCTCTCATTACTAGTTACCAAACAGCGAAAGAAAAATCTTCTCTTGTAACTGGTTAGGGAAGTCAAGTTACCAAAGTGGAATAATTATTCTTCTCCCACAACTAGTTACCAAACAACGAAAAAAAATCTTTTCTCGTAACTGGTTAGGTAAGTTCAGTTACGAATATGGACGAAGGCCTCTATCAGTCCTTCGCCAGCAATTATGACACACACGAGATGATGATGGCAACTGAAACAATAATTAAACCATAAATGAAGTAAACAAAATCAAATTAAACTAGATAAATGGTTAGAAAAATACAGCCCACTGGGCTAAACAACTGTTAACATGAAAAAACTTTAACGTCATATACTTTCATTCCAGTGCAATGATGTGAACACACCAGCTAGTTTGCGGCTAATCCATAACCAATACTTTATGTTAAATGTGAAAGTGAGATTGTTTGTTTGTTACGCTATCACACAATTCTTTTAACAATGGAAAGTTATATTATCAGCGAATAACTTAGGCTACATTTTATACACATAAATTAAAAACTGTTATACACTTACCTCACGTGGTGCAATCTGTTGCACAATCACATTCCTTATCAGTTCCTCACGTGGAGAATCAGAACAGAGTGAGTGTGATCTTATACTTAAAAGTGACCTGCCACAGCTGATGCACACAAGTCCATTACCAACAATCGGTGCATTCTGCTGTTCACTAGTTGGATTTCGTATTTCATTCCAGGCTGCAATCCAACACGAGTGGCACACTACATTTTCACTCGAAACTTGTACCTAATAATAAAGATACCATTATTATTAGATATTTAAATTTATTTTAAGTCATCTCAGCTAAAAAGCATTTCTAATAGGAAGAAATGTCATGGATTAACTATTTACCTGCTGTGGTCGAACCCATTGTTGTATTAGATTTCGAACTTCTTCTATTTCCAACAAATGTCTTCGCATCTGTGTGACGTTTATACCACAATTGACACAGCGTGAATGTCCTCTTGAAAGAGTTACTGTGGGCTGTGAAGAACTCTGGCCGGTGTGAGAGCTGGGGTCATCATTTTCAATGGATATTGAGTCCAAGTTCGTGCAGGAGTTATCGTGAGAAGCGGGAGCGGGATCCATGTTCAGGCCGTGATCAGTAGGGTAAGAAAAATTGTCGAAGTCCATTTAGAAAGCTTATTAGTTGTATTGTAAGAAAACAAACAAATAATAGAAATGCAAATGAAGTTGTGATTTCACGTAATGGTGACAGATTGTGTCCTTGCTGTTTTAATGCATTCGATGTTGCCACTTAACAGCCATAAAATCGGAAATGGTTATCGATTATTTGTAAAATATAATTTAATATGAAATAATAATCTACGAGGTGCCTTTAAATTCTGTACGCCTTTTAGTTTTTTTTTTAATGTATTTTATTATATCTTAAAAGTATTTTTAAGAACATACAAGAATGACTATTACTAAATTCTACTATTAAATTCTACAGTAGCGTCTTTGCTATGATTTTAAGAGTTTATGGTAATTCTAGCAATTCGCTTATATTATTATCGTAACATCATAAGCATTAACGAAATAAGGAATATTAATTTATTATTTATTTATTTTACGGGCTCTTGAGAAGACTCAAGGCATCTTTTCTGACTTGATTATGGTAATCAGTTAGTGTCTGTTGTATTCCGCCGTGTTTATCTGCTGAAAAAATTAATTTAAAGGTTTTGCGTATTAAGTTTTTGTGTATTAGTAATGTAATTTAATTTAACTTTTGTTACATCCTTATGGGCGATTATGCCTAAAATAAACAATAAATAAATAAATAATATTAGCACTAACATAATGAAATCATAATAATTACCGATAATCGAATAATATAGCTATAAAATAATGGCTGTGTTTGGCAGAAAATAGCGCTAGGAAGCGCTTAGTAGCGCTTACTAGCGCTGACACAGTTTTCGGCCAGGACACGTTTGCTAACTTCAGTAGCGCTGACACAATACGCCATTTTGCTTATTTATTTTGTTTGTTTTAAAAGTAGAATTTATAAAATGTTTTGTGCAATTAGTTTCAAGTAATATTAAAATAAATAATAATGTCAGTCCAAAAAATAGTAAAATATATGTGTCATTTGACAGCGCTTTCCGCTTAGCGATCGCTATTTTGCTTACAAGCGCTTCCTAGCGCTATTTTCTGCCAAACACAGCCGACATCATAAATAATCGATTTTTTGAACGAAATTAGTAATTGGGAACACTTAATATTTTGCCAGAAACCAATGAAATACGGATTAACGTAATTTCACTTATATCTTTTCGGTACTTTTATTTTCTGTTTAAATGTTGCAGACTTGTCAGGATAAATGAATACCCCAATTAATAAACAGAAAATAAGATGGTTTTTTCTAACAAAAGCAAATTGTTGGGCGTTTTGGGGCATTGCCCTTTGTCAATCAAATTTGATCGTTTACAGGGCTCTTTAAATGTCTCTCTCTAACCTCGAAAAGTAGTTGGGACACTTGTCCAGTTAAAATTTAGGTTGTCTGTGGGCAAAAGGTCATGTAGAATTCTATTCGAGTCAGTGTCATGCTCAATGAACCAGTCAGTCTCAGTCTTTGTCAAAAAGTCAGGCAAGAACGCTAGCCCTATGCGTGTGAGCGTAATGGCTTCTTCATTGACAGCCACCAACTCTTCCATATCATCATCACTGTTGTCCTCCATCGGTCGGCACCAGTCGTTAAGTAAAGCCGAAGCCTCACTCGTGAGTAGATCTGGATCAAGCAAAAGTGTAACAGTTATTTTTTTTGTGCATTTGTGATACGTACGATATTGATAAAAGCGGCACCTGTTTGGCCGCATCGCTTTGTTGTTGATTTATCTAAAGTAGTTTGTAGCTACGGTATTGATCTCCTTTGTTCACTTTCGGACCACTAGATGGCGTTTTTTTGAGACATGATAGTTTAATTAAAAAGACTTACTTTTTAATCTGTTCTGGTAATCTGTCATGAAAAATTGCATAGGTATTGGGAGTGTTCAGCTATGGTGGAAAGCAAGTTACTTTTGATTTTGTTAGCGTTGTTTTCTTTCTCAATGTAAATGTCAAAGTGAAATGATGAGGAGGGGTTAACTTCTGGAAGATTCCTGAACCGAGGATATATAGGTTGGGCTTTCTGCCACGGGAGACACTGCTATCTCGTGCCTTCCGATCTTATATAGTGTTTTGATTGTCGTGTAATTTGAATTTCGTAATATGTAGTCTGTTATAATCTACCCACTAATGTGGTAAGTATTCTCTCAATTCTTCTTAAACCTATTTGTTTCTGGAACCTGTTTAATTTATATGAGTGCTAATCCATTCGTAGGGTCCCAGATTTCGGGGTCAAGACGGTCAGTCTTAGACGGTGTGCTTGCTCTTTTGTGGCCTTCTGGTACAGACTCAAGTTTCTCGGTACCCTCTGGCAAAGCTGGTGATTGCGCGGCTCACGACGCAAGCGGACAGCCGTACCCAAGAGTTACGTACTTAAACTTATAATTGTAATTTGTTAAACTTTTATCCATATCTAATATAAATAGCCGACTCGGGCGGAAGAGGAAGTAACCTCCTGGAGGGACGACGAGGAGGCACCGAGCACCATCAGCTCGGCTCTAACGCGCACCGCTGCGGTTTTTTTTTCTTTTTCGTGTACCCACACTGTTTAATTAGTTTAATTTGATCTACTTTTTCTCTGAAATATACATGTATGTATAACTGAGGTGTAAGTTGTTTTCCTCTAAAGAGTCCCATAGGTTTCCCACACGCACACACTTCTATTCTCATACAAGGCGCCCTGAGGTAATCTCTTGAATCTCTCCACTGGGTCAGCCGGTGAGTAGTCCGCCAGAGAGGAAAAGCGGATACAAAAGAAAATACTGTGCCTCAGAAATTCATGAAACTATATAAAGGTCCATGAACGAAAAATAGTTGAGTAAATTCAGTGAAATACACTTAAATATAACAACAACAATTTTTAAAGCTAATAAAAGGTGCAAGAAAGTGAAAAATAAGGGAGGAAATTCTAGTATCTAGTACAAAAATAAAAATTAAATAAAAATTAAATAAAATTAAGTTAGAATATTTACAGCATTAACACTATCTACATACAAGCATCAAAAAATTCCTCCGCATCATCGCCTACTGGTAGCGTTCCCAGAAGACTGGCAGCATTGCCACGTTGAATGGCAATGCTAATTCTCTGTGCTAGAAAAAGACCAGCTTTCTGATCACGAGAAGTATCAATCAGTAGTTTAGCTAGCTGTTTATATATAGTACGAGCACTTGGACCCCATGACCCTAAAGTTTCGACCCCAAACGGTTCAAAAATGTAATTTCCTACTAAATTCTGATATTTACGCCGTTTGAGGGTTTCTGCAGATGCAGCAGCAGCGCCGGCGTAACCAGCAGTGCTTGGCAAAGGTGTCGACGCAGGTTGCGTCCCACACCAAAGGCTTACCCATCTTCCATGGCAGTAACGACATACCGTCCGGTCTCTTTCCATCGTCTCAAACCAGACCATTGGGTTCACGTACAGCTGGTACGCCGGCGGTAACAAGAGCCCGACGGTAAGGATGCTTGGAGCCAGGTTCGATCATTAAAAGCTATATTCAACACTTTACTGAGAGTGTTTTGAATAATTTTGTCAACTTTTTCTAAAAGTGATGGGTGTTTCCAAAGTGGGGATGACCGAAGTGCATGTATAAATTTAGGTACAAAAAGACAAAAACGGAGTATAGTAAAAGCCGAATGAACATTAATTTTAAGTAAAAGATCCGAAAAATCACCAAAAATTTTAATTTTGTTTTCTATAAAAGATTGAAAACCATCTTCCAAGACTGGACATCCAAGAAGGCGAAGAGAATTTTTTTCTAAAAGTTTAATGTTGGGTGCTAAAGAATTGAATTTTTGTACAGTCGCGAGTCTGTCTGTATTGTCACAAATAAAAATTTCGCATTTGTCAGAGTTGAGTTCTAAGCCAATGGATCTAAATTTATTTTTTATAAAAGATAAATCTTCTAAAACTGTATCTACTTCCCCTCCTAGAGTTCCATCGTCAAGGTACCAAATGTTAAATTTAGACTTTACCTGCTCAATAATAGGGTGTATTGCTAAACTGAAGATAACTGGTCCCAAAGGATCACCTTGTTGACATCCGACGGCCGAGTCCAAAAGATTATCCTTGTAAATAAGTTTTGTTGGATATCTATAACATTGCCAAAGAAATTTATAAATTTTAGGGGTTTCCAATTTTGCTTGGGTCAACAAAATGTCCCTATTAACAGAATTAAAGGCATTCCTCAGGTCAACCTTCAAGATAACCTCCGCATTCTGACTGCCAAGGTACGTGGACAGGGCGTGTATGGCAGCCTCACAACCACCTTTCGAGCCAAAACCAATTTGTAATGGTTGAAATTTTGCTGCAAGTTCAGCGCTGTAATATTTGCAACAAATTTTGGCTACCATACGTCGCAAGGTACACCCTACGGCAATCGGACGAATGCCACCATCGTTCTTACGTAGGGCACATAAGTTGGCTCCATACAAAATATCAATGATGCCATCGTCCACATTGCCAGAGAGCATAAGATTCACTAAAGCCGTCAGCTCCTTCAAGAGAGCATCGCCAGCCTCTCCAGCACTGGAACAAACCAGATCTTTTAGATGCTGTGGTGTCAAGCCGTCGAGACCGCCAGCAGATCCACTCCAAAAGGAACAAATGGCCGCTAGAACTTCCTTGGCAGTAACAATAAGATGTTCGCTATCGGTGGCAGGTGGTTCAGGAAAGGAGAGATCATCCTGAGGTGTGGGATGCTTATTCTTCAGGTCTGCGACTGTTTCAGGCGAGTAAGGCGCTACCACATCGCTGCTAAAAAGCAGCCTAGCTGCTCCCCTTATATCACCTTCCCTTAGTTTTGTCTCAACGTAAGCGAAATTTTTGTGTTTATGATTACATAGAGTAGATAATTTTGGGTCAAAATAGGTAGTATTAAGGCAATTCTCTTTAATTTGGGTCGTCAAAGATTTTTGGGTACTATTTGTTTTTTTTAGGTGTAAAATTCTATAAGGGAAGGTAAGTAGTTGTTCCCAGGCGGCTATTGAATTTTCCCGAACAACAAGGCCTACACAATTGGCTAAACAATCAGCCACTGTGGGCCTTGCACCTCGGGGGACTCTCTTGAGAATAGGAACAGAATTTTTTAAGTGGGTTAATTTTTGCCAAAAAGGGTTTTGTGTAGTATTTGCTGGAGTTTGACTAAGAGATGTAGGATCAGAAGTACATAAAGGCACGTTTTGGGACTTGTGAATTTTACCAAAATGTACCTTCAAGCCTCGCTCACCTTTAAAAAAACGATCCTGTGAACAAATAGGGCAGCGAACGAGATTACTTGCTGAAACAGCTGGTTGACCTGAACACACTGTCACATTGCCACTGGTGTTTACGAACATTTAAATTAACACGTTCCCTGCGCCATCACTTTCAAAAAACTTTCAGCTGGTGCTTTGGAGACCTAAAAGATCTCCAAACTAACCTACCATTTGGTGCGTTTGAGACCTAATCGGTCTCCTAAAGATACAGTTTTCAAAATAGTTTATATCTTCCAAAAAAACAATCAAATATATTTTGAAGTTTTTGTGGGTGAAAGATAGCCTATTGCTTTATATTTTGCTAGGTTCGCACGCAGTTATGACATTTGAATAAACTACAAATACCAAAAAAAAAAAAATGATATCGATTGTATCTCGTACCGCAACGGAAGATAGTTCAATATGTGTAGTAAGTAGTGATGTGAATAAAATAATATCTCAGTTGTCGATTGAAAAAGTTTTATTAATTATGCAAAGTGTTTTCATTAAAACATGGTAAGCACATTGATTGCTTGCATTGCGCGCAAATGGTAACAATTCGTTTGGTTTTTTTAGAAGCGTCAGTGCTGTTTAATGTGCGTCGTAATTTTTCGTAACAACCCACACAACGTCTTTTTTTGTCGCCACGTTGGAAAACATGATCAGTACATCTTCCTTCGGGTAATTCTGTAATAAAGTGCATTGTATAAATAAACAGCATGCAACTATGTCAGTGAAGTAAATGCGATGGAATCTAATTTTATTAGTTTCGTTGTTCGAGTGTCTTATGTATATTTTTGTTCTTAGGCTGTTGTTGCTTTAAAAAAATATACGGAGGTATTAAATAAAAGCTGGATGTCACAGGTCTCTTGTAAGTTTACTATAACAACGTTTTTGTTTTAATAACCGAAATTTAGGCTACCAGAAACTTACCAGAGAGTGATGTGAACCCCCCCCCCCCTCCCCCCTGTGTAGTATAATGCTTACATAATTAAAACACTCTAGCATTATTGATAAGTAGCAAAGCCCACCAGAAATCCTACTAAGCTAAGACAATCTCAAAAACAACCAAACATTTTCAGGCAATCAACAGAAGAAGTAGGTACATAACGCGTTTCAAACACAAAAAAATAAAAACCACGTAATATCGAAAAAAAGGCAGGCAGATATTATATTGGAAATAATGTCTCCCCTCTTTAATTTATGTTATTTGTATTGTATCCAAGAAGATTTTTGTTCAGTAAACTCGAATGATTAAAGTGCATAATATGCTCAGTTTCATGCAAAGCGTGCTGCAGTTAGTTGACGATGCTAAGCTTACGCGTTGTCTGGAACCATTACCTAAGTTTCTGGAGAGATTTTAGCTACCTTTATGAGTAAGAACAGTTTGTTTTCGAAGAACTGTTAGGTATGTTGACCACGGCAATCTTCTGACACCACCACGCTCGCCATCGGATTTATCCGCATACCCTTGAACCTAAACGGTTATGTTTAGAACAAATTAAGATGTGTTTCCTCAAAAAAATGGACTACAACATGATACCTACTCTGCAAAAATGGTGAGAAAAACGCAGTAGGTAAGTACACAAGTATGTGTCTAGTATTTTGAGCACTCTTAGGCAAGAGGGATGGCCTAGTGTATCTGCTTTACATTAGATATTTTGTCACAAGAAACCTGCAGGTTTTATATACACGCTTGTTGTCACACGAGTTGTATTAAAAATAGTAATTTGTGCAATAGTAAGTTAATCATACCTGTTCCAGAAATTTTTCGGCCTCCGAATGTTTCGATGATTGATTCTGTGAATTCTTTTTTTGACATTTTCTTGTCTGTATTTGCATTGTATATTATCCATGCGTTTATGAGTGCAGTACCAAATAAAAATTCCATCATCACTTTCCGATACCACTTTAGACCTCGTCGTAAAGTAGTGTAGGAGGTATACACAAATACATACATACACGTCTATACTATATAATATTCCAATACTATCTTCCTTCTATCTAAACATTTCTATAACTAATATAATTACATATATCTTATTATTATACTCTATATATCATTACAATATAATATGTAGTATTTATTTACATATTCTATACTACCAGATACACTTTCACTTTATATAAATAATTTAAGTAAATCGAATAATATTTATTTATATTTCATTCGGTGTAGTGGGACCACACCCTAATCTTCGAGTCCTGTTGTTTCCGCCGTCGGTCGGTGCAAGCGCATCGACCGCTGCATAGAATTAGTTCTCGTACTGCCCTCGGACGCGAAACCTATTTTGTTGCCTATGAAACATATAAATTCTATGTATAAATATAACGTGTAAATCTGTGACATTATATATTAAATTTTCTCTTGACTGTTTCTTGTGCTGTGTTAATTGTTGTGAGTCTTGTTTCTCCTTCTGTGAGTGTAAATAAACTTGTGCTACTACCTTCCAATACAACTTTTATTTTTCTCAAACTTTCTGTAAGTAATTTTTATCTATACTACAGTAGTATAGTATGCCGACATTTGATCTGAGTAGTCTATCCCTTTTTTATTATCATTATAAGTTAAAATGCACAGTGGCTTTCTGATCATTTCATTAGTTCTCTTATGTATCTTACCTGTATCTACTAGAGACGCTTTATGTGCTTTACAGGAAGTTATCATTGAAACTTGGCGCTTATCGTGCCATTTAATAACTTTCACACCACTAGGCAGCATTATCCCTTCAACTTCACCTTTTTTCAATTTTTTAGACATAAATTGCTTGGGAAGTCCTCTTCGGTTTGATCTTAGCGTGCCACAGTAAAATGTTTTCTTTTCTAAGAGTTCCTCTACTAAATCAAGAGAAGAATAAAAGTTATCGGCTACTAAAACTCGACCTTCATTTTCTAGACCCTCTATGAGCTTCATAACTAAATTTTTTCCATGGTTCACTTCTCTGCTATTTCCTTCTTTACCTGTATATACTATGGTTTTAAAAGTGTACCTCTCAGGAGTACATAGTTTATATAATTTAACTCCATATTTATGCGATTTATTTTTTAAGTATTGGCGAAAAATAAGTCTCCCGCGCCAGGGAATCATTGATTCGTCTATCACGATAAATTTTCCTGGAGTTAAAATATCTCTAAAACGATTATTTAACATATTAAGTATTTGTCGAATTTTGTAGAGTCTATCTTCAGTATCATTTCTTTCATCGCTGAAATGCCAAAACTTTAGAAGCAAGATAAATCTATCTCTTCCCATGAGAGAGCATATATATTCGTTTCTGTAAATGGATTTCTTTGACCAATAATCGTGAAAATGTGGAACCTTATTTAAACCCATCGTAAGTATGATACTGAAAAACTGGCGCATTTCATTTGCATCTGTAGGTTTCCAAGCTTTAGAGCGTGATTTTGCTGTAATTTCTTTTTCTAATAAATATTTATCTGCGTATTTATTAGTTTCTTCTACTATTTTATCAATAATATCGTCAGTTAGAAACAAACTATAAATATCAGTACATGGGCTGATATATATATTATTTTCATTACTTAGCTGCGTGTGCTCCAACGTAGAAAGGTTCACCATTTTCTTTTTAGGTGCGTCAAATATTTCATAATCAGAATCACTGTCATTATTAGCCAATGGAGGGCAAATTTGAACATTTTCCAAAATTTTTATTTTACTGGACGATGCAGCAGTATAATCCGGCGTTGATTTTTTGTTGGAAATCTCACCAAAATAAATAGATTTTTTACACTTTTTTCTTTTAAAAGCACTCATTGTATAACAAAAATGATAATCAACACGTAGGTATATACGCGAGTGTTATTTCGCAAACGTGCGCGCGACCTCCCACGTCGATGCTAGGACAACACTAAAACGAGTTACGCAGCGCCCGCGCCGCCCACCTTCCCTCTCTTGCGTCTACGAGGCGTACGATTCCACGAGTACCGACATATCTTCTAACGCAAGGAATGAAAATAATTACAGTACTGTGCGTTAGGGACCTAATCCATCTCTAATTTCTTTTTTAATGTCCTTGAATTCATCTTTAAGTAGGAAGCAAATATGTATATTTGTCCTACTCATACCTAAAGAACTATACACGTTAGATCCTCCCGCAAGGAGTGAAACAACACTATTATATTCAACGCACAATACAAAAGTCCTGCAAGAGATCTGATAGATCTCGTAATGCAACGAACGTGTTAAATAAAAATTATTTAAAATAAATATAAAAACAGTCCAAAATAAAATAAAAAACACACTGAAAGTCTGAAGTCACACTTCATATTGACAGGCGCCTGCGTATTCCTGTCGGGTATTTTCGTTCAGATTGTTGTTGAATTATTGGCTAAAGTAAATATTAAATAGAAATTATGATTAGAAACTCAAAGGTGAAGTTAAAATTTATCATCAAAGATCGATCTTCCTTTCTTTTTCAACTGATCCTTTTTCCAAACTAGGTTGGGTCGGCTTTCAGCCTACTGCGACACGGCTGAACTTCGTTTTTAAAATAGAGCGACTGCCATCAGACTTCCATAATCCAAAGTACTAGGCGATATCGAAATTCTTTAGTTATTTTTCAGTAATTATTTTTTGGATATTTATTATTTTTATTTATTCATATTTATATATGACACATGACATTCTTTGTTTTTTGGTGTTGTGATTCTCTTTAAATTTAACGATATGGTCTCTATTTATACAGTGGTAACAGTCAATTGGATGCCCGCCAACACTACATTTCCAGTCCTTGGGATGAGTAGAGCAGGATTCCATGAAGCTGCAAGCACTTATTGAAAAGCCCCAGATATGGAAAAAAGCTCCCCACATGCATTAATATGTAGCGATAAACTTCCCTTTTGGTTTTGGCACATTCTGTTTTTTGAGTTTATGCAGTGATCAGACTGGTCTTTTGATTCGGCTAGTGCTATTAAGGTGAACAGCATTATCATTGATACTCTTGTCTTTTCCATTATTATATCTTTGTTGTTTTTATCTGTGTTTCCTTGTTATATTTATATTTCAATTGGGCTGCTCAAACTTTTTTAATTTAAGGATCTGTTTTTACAAAGAAACACACAATATCAGTCTCACCTTTCCCTGTGATAACTTTCTTCCCTTCACTGGTGAAGGATGACGTGGTAGACCATGGCGAAATGCATAAACGTTCATGAACATGATCTTGAGATTGATTAATAATATGTTTTGATATCTTACCTTGCTCGTATATTGCTTTTGCTGTACTGGTGGAAGGCTGCGCTTTGCTGGTCGAAGGCTGCACTTTGCTAGTGGAAGGCTGCACTGTGCTGGTGGAAGGCTTCGCTGGAACTAAATAAGACACTGTTCAATCTGAGCGATACGATATAGTTTAAGATAATTACGAATATTACTATTTTATTACCAAGATTCCCAGTCACCCAGTCAACAAGAAGGGGAGAAAACCCTGGCACTTCCACGCAAAACTAGAATACCTACAGTTAAATAAGTACACACTTAAATAAGTAACATTGTAATGTAGTAATGTAGTACCATGTAAATATTATTAACATAAAAATATGCTATCAATTTCAAATGAACGTCTTCTTTGACTGCGCGAAGGCTTTTCAAGACCTGGCGATGGTGATAGCACTGACGATGGTGACTGTATACTGTAAAAAAATGATTTGGAGTTAGAGAGAGAAGTTTTGAATGCATATACAATGGATCTTTGAAACGGATAATAAATATATCACCTAGTTGGAGTATGTTGTTTTGTCAACTGCCAGGGCATAAGTTTAGGAGGTGGTGGCGTGGCAGGTGTCCCCATCACTAGGCGACATTCTGTACGTTTTGGAGACTGTTTCCTGTTGAAAAGGTGTAATATTTTTTTTTATAAAACAAAACATCATAATACTAAGTACAACAACCAAGGTCTTTCCTTACCGGAAGGAGAAACTGGAATCGACAACCTCTCAGTATGTGCATTAGAAGCGAAAATCATAAAGGCCATTGATGAAGGATTTGAGGCTCGAGGCAATCAACAAGGGGTAGATAATCCATCAGGCCATCCATCCACTGCTGTTTTTTTTTTTTTTTTTTTTTGTTTTTTTTTTTTTTTCAGAAGGAGGGTCCAGAAGGAGATAGCTACCTGGACCCCTCCTAAACTGGAAGCGCAAAGAGGGCACACCGTGTGGTTTTAGTCGGTTCGAGTCCGACACACCGCCCCGCCGAACGAGAGCCCCGGCGGGGTGACGGTCCGAGGGGATTTCCACACGTAAAAAAAAAAAAAAAAAAAATCCATCCACTGCTATCCCAACCTGGGTTAGCACGATGGAATCATTAGTGGGGAGGCTCTCGGACATTCTCGCAGCATTGCAAAGTCTAACAACTAAATTAGTTGGGCGAGACTTTTGTCAACAGCCTTCCCATGTTCCTCGTGAGGCCGCTCTCATGGGACCATCTGGACCCATTCAAGCAGGACCATCGCGACCAGGACCTTCATCGACTCTTCTTCGCAGTAAGCCGATTTTTTTTTATTTTTTTTTAAATCGGTTTATAAAAAAAACAATCATCAAAATCTACATTCCTCACATCTCCAATTGTTTCTTCACAAACCACTTCATCCGCCTCTGCACTCGCTTCATTTTCAACACCGTCAATTGCTACTTCTTCTTCAACCGCCCCTTCCTCAATTGTTTCCCTTTGAATTGCTCCTCCCTCAATCGCCTCCTCTTCATCACTAGAAAAACTCTTGCCGTCGTGGTCGCAGTCTGCTCATTATTTTTCAAAATATTTTCAAATTCCTCAGCAGTTATTTTCAAAATAATCTTTTGTTTCCAGCTAAAAATATAAATATGCTGGGCCCATAACCTGTTGAACGGTGGATGTCGCTAATGGGATCACTTTCAAACCAAAAAAGGCACTGAAGGGCGCTACACACGCCTAAGATACTATAATATTTTATCTTAAGATACAATATCGCTCGCCATACTATTCAATGGACCATTACACACGACGAAGATAATATTTATTTCATATTTTCGTATCGTAAGATAGAGAGCGATATGAGAATTTATCGTAACATAACATCTTAAGTTATTAAATACATATATCGTACCTTAATATGTTAAGATATAAAATGCGAATACAGGTTGTTGAGATTTGTACTTAGGTTTGTGTTCAATTTCATTTCTACGAAATTGTGCGGCAAATTCTATCTCTACATAGCGTAGGATCGGCTCACGCGCATCTGGAATTTTCTTCCTTAAGCGGAGTTTACATTACGAAATTAGTGTCATGCATTTTGAACTCAGTTTCAAGAAAGTAGTTTCGATATATCCGAAAGTAATTTCGTAAAAAAAACTAGTGTCGCGAAATCCACAGTATCGCAGTAACCATGGCGCCATCAGCATCAAAGCTATATTTTGCCATATTCAATGTAGCTAAAGAAATGCTTATATATAAACTTAAAAAAAGACTATCAAGAAAAAAAGACGTTGGTGGATTCGAGGATGGTTAACAAGAAGGCATTTAGGTGCAATGAAGTTAGTCTCTGAATTAGCAGATGAAGATCCTGAGAGCTATAAAAACTATTTTCGAATGAGTGAAGATAATTTTAATTTTTTACTGACGAGTGTCTAACAAAATATCTAAACAAGATACGATATGTCGAGAAGCGTTACCAGCAAAACTTAAACTTCAAATTACGCTGCACTTTTTAGCATCTGTAAATAGTTTTTAGTCTTTATCATACGAATTCAGGGTGCCATCATGCAGTATATCGAAATTTGTGCCTGAGATCCTGGATGCAGTCTACAAAGAATTAAAAAACTTTATTGTGGTAAGCAAATTATTTTTTATTTTTTATTTGGTACTAGCTACAAACAATCAACAACTTAGGGTATTTAATAATTAATATTGATCATAACTCAATTTGTACTCCGGCATAGAAGTATCATGAATGCTTGCTACAGCCCGTGCGAGTACGCCGTAGTCCTCATCATAAGGATACTGTCTGTTATTACACCACTGGTACCACTGGTAGAAGCAAAGGTATCGGGTTCCGAGGATAAAGCTGGAAGGCGAACTTGTTCAGTTGATGTCTGTTGTTTTGCTAATTTGATTCGTTGCTTTCGGACTATTGACAAAATCATTTCCTCTGTTTCCAGAGCTATTTTAAGAGGAAGTGCCCGTAACTGTTGAGCTGTTGAGTTTGTCCAAAAAGATCAAATTCATCATTAGTAGCATTTGAAAAGTGCTGCGTTGAAACTTTTTCTAATGCATCTACTGCCTGCAGTAGGGGACCTTTTATTTTTCTTTTATTTCTTGTAGGTATGGATGATACGGTAAAATCTTGGCTCTCAGATTCTGAAGTAGAAGTTGCCTGGGTATTTGGTGCCTGAAACAATGAATTATATTTTTAATAACCTTTTTTCTTTACAGATGGCAAACACAGAAGAAACTTGGAGCGAGATAGTTGATGGTTTTAGTCACAAATGTAATTTTCCGTTATGTGGTGGTGCTATAGATGGCAAACATGTCCAAATACGTTGTCCAGCGCGTTCAGGAACTTATTACTATAATTACAAGGGAACTTTCAGTATAGTCCTTCTAGCAGTCTGTGACAGTAATTTAAAATTTAGATATATCAACGTGGGTCATTATGGTCGTGCTTCTGATGGGGGCATTTTTGCTAGATCAAATTTAAAAACAATGTTGGAGGAACGCTCCTTGAACGCTCCTGAAGGAATAGTTTTGTTGGGAGATCAAGCTTTCCCCCTAACCGAATATCTTATGACACCATATAGTCGTCGATTAAACTTATCAAACTAACAAAAAAATTTCAACTACAGATTAGGCAGAGCTCAAAGGACTGTAGAAAATACTTTTGGTGTCTTAGTTAGTAAGTTTCGGACATTCGAGAAGCCTATCCCGGTATTGCCAGAAACTGTGGACAGAATAGTAAAGACATGTTGTGTCTTGCATGATTGGCTGAAAACTATTTCATCGACTTACATAGAATCGGGTTTGAATGAGGAAGAAAATCCAGAAACGGGAGAATTATTGGAAGGTTCACGGCGGACGGTAACCCAAGGAGTTTTTTCCCCACTCCGTAATCTGGGTAGAAATCATTCTAGAAATGCAACCCTCATAAGACAAGGTTATACTGACTACTTTGTTGGAGATGGGCATGTAGAATGGCAAGAGAGAATGATTTTTTAAATGCAAGGAGGCAAAAGCGAAACATCCATTGTAATATTGTAGAATAAATTATACTTACCACATTTTCTGTATTTTCTCTAGTGTAACTGTCAATATTTTTCAAAAAATCCAAATGACACTGCCAAGGAATTTTAGAAATATACAGATCATTAGTTGCCATACCCGTAGTATTAGATTTTTTTGCCTTTAACAACTCATTGTTGTAAGTATTTCGAAGTGATCGTATTTTAGCAACAACTTCTTTGACATTTTGCATCTCCATGGCTTCCATAATTATTTTGTAGGCCGCATCTCGGGCATCCCAATTTTTATATTGTAGGTGTTTCGGATCCCACAGACACTCTTGTCGCTGATATTCATTAATGAATTGTATATTTTTATTTGTACTCCATCGTTGGTTCGCCATTTTCAACGCCGGCACGAAATTCATTTGCATTCATGAAATTAATGCATGCATTACAAAAATATTAAATTACATGAAACTGTTGGTAAAACTACTGTCACGAAATTAATTTCATGCCACTAATTTCGTAATGTAAATTCGACTTTACTCAGTACAGTGGAGCGAGCAGAGAGGAGAAGAGGTGTTGCACGTGTTTCTCGAACCTTCTTACTTTGGTTTTAGATCTATTCGTTGTTGTTTTTATAATTTACCAGTTTTCATGTTGATTGGTAATCTCAGATACTCGTATACATAGATACTCTTTTGATATCAACTCTAAATCCTGTTTGGTTTATGTAAATGTTTTATTTTTAATTATGTTAAATTTGGAATGTCAGTTTAGTTTACCATTGTATGAATTGTGTAAATATTTATTATTCCGTTTAAATCACTGAAAGTAGAAACATGTCTAGTTCTCTCAAATTATTTGTGTGCTTTGTAAAAATTCAAAATGGTGTAAAGATATAAAATAAAAATACTCTTCTATTCAGTTGTTAAATGTTTCTATGGTTTTAAAGCCACAACTATTATTTCAAGATTTCATATACCTAATCGAAATGGAACGACTAATTGAAACCGTACGCAAATATCCTTGTCTATAGAAATTGGACTCTGAAGAATATAAACTGAATGATTTTAAGGAAGCAGCGTGGATAGAGGTGGCAAAGGAATGCGACTTGGCCAACGGTAAGCATTTTTATTATTACTACGCTTTTATTAGGTTGACATGTAACTATCTAAATAAATAACTGACTAACTTTTATTTGATACGACATGACATAGGTACCTAATTATTATGTAAAACCTAATGATATTTAGTTTAGACATTGTTTATTTCAATGTTTGGTATAAAATAACATCTAAAGCTGTGGGCTGTGACGATTTAAGCCGCTTTATGATAGTCACCGTATTGGACCAACTTCTTCCTGCAATCTCCCATATAATCAACTTCTCCCTTTACTCCAGACACTTTCCAGCCGCATGGCGCAGCGCATACGTTCGCCCTCTTCCAAAGATTCCAAATCCTTCCCTACCGAGCCATTTCCGACCCATTTCAATTCTCCCTTTCCTATCCAAAGTACTAGAGGCGTGTGTTCATAAACAACTCTCCAAGTTTATCCACCAAAACAATATCCTCAGCCCACTTCAATCAGGATTCAGACCTGGACATAGCACAGTTACAGCTATGCTTAAAATGACCAGCGATATTAGGAATGGTGTGGAAGACGCAAAAGTTACTATTCTAATCCTGATTGACTTCTCCAACGCCTTTAACACAGTCAACCACGATATCCTCATATCTATCCTCACCCATTACATGGTCTCCACCGAAGCACTTGAATGGTTTTCATCTTATCTTCGTGGACGTCGGCAGTCGGTCCGCATTGATGAAGCATCATCAAGTTGGTGTGATCTTGCTGCTGGCGTTCCGCAAGGTGGTATTTTATCTCCTCTCCTATTCTCGATGTTTATCAATCTTATTACTCTCGATCTTCGGTGTGCGTATCATTTGTATGCGGATGACCTTCAAATCTACGCACAGACCAGCCTCGATAATATAGTGGCAGCAATTCAAAACATTAACAGTGATTTAGTAGCAATCAAAAACTGGTCTGAGCGTTTCGGCGTAAGTGTGAATCCCTCCAAGTGTCAGTCCATAATTATAGGTAGCCCCAGAATGATGAGCAGATTAAACACATCAAACCTGCCGGCGATCGTTTACAACGGATCCGACATACTGATCAGTCCATTTGTCAAAGATCTTGGCTTATGGATTGACTCCAGCCTCACTTGGCAACAGCAGGTTGCAAACGTAAGTCAAAAAGTCACTGGAACCTTGCGATCACTGTATCGGCTAAAAAACTTTCTTCCACATACTACTAAGTTAATGCTTGTACAGGCTTTGATCTTTCCAATCATCGATTATGGTGATGTATGCTATCTCGACCTGAATGCAGATCTACTCAACAAACTTGATCGACTTCTCAATAATTGCATTCGATTCATCTTCAACCTCCGCAAGTATGACCATGTGTCTGCCTATCGATCCCAGCTGTCATGGTTACCTATACGTCAGCGCCGTAGCTTGCGCGCCTTGACTACCCTTTATTCTCTTCTTAATAATCCTACAGCTCCCACTTATCTCACTTCACAGCTTAAACCGCTATGCTCCAACCATGACAGAGATCTTCGGTCCACTAATAATCATTTACTCTTGAATCCAATCCACACTTCTTCTCTTGTTCATTCTTCATTTGCTGTCCAGTCTATCCTACTATGGAATGCGCTTGAGATCAGGATGTCAGGAAGTCGTGACACGTTCAAAGCTAAAGTCCGCGAATTGTACAGGAAACAGCTAGCAGAAATATCCTCATGATATCGTCACCCAAACTTTATTGTATTTATTATATTCCGTATGTATAATATATTAATAGTTATCTATGTATTCGTCTATCTTTTTCAAATAGTATTATCAAATTAATGTTATATTTTCATAGCTTCTCTTCTTATTACATAATATATGTGCACCTGCCATGCCCCTTACTGAACCATCTTAAGGTTGACTGGTAGATACTGCCATGTGGCATTAAGTCCGCCTCGTGCAAACTGTAATGCAGGAAGTGTAAAAATAAAAAATAAAAATAAATAAATAAATAATCTTTGCTGGATTCGGTTCGACTGCCATGGTAAACTGCCAGAGGAGTTGAAATAATGGCAGAATTCTTTTCGTATCATAAAGCTATCATCAGAATAACGAAATCCGTTGTTACTTAATGATACCAGCTGATTTTCATTTCTAACTATGAGACCTGCATAATTTTCACCAGAAAAATAATCATTTGTGTTTTGTATACAATAATTATGCAAAACTATAGTAGCTTTAACGATTTTGTCCGCTAAGTCAACTTTACATGCAATTGGTCGTCTGTATATCCGAAATCGAGAAGCCAATATTCCAAACGCATTTTCAATAACGCGGCGTCACGGTATAATTATAATACAGTACTCCAACTTCATACAAACGGACGAAACGCGAGCTATACCTACGCGTCTCGATCTCGGGGTGCGCTCGGGGCGCAGACAGTCACGGCTGTACAGCAGTGTCGAACGGACGGTGTGTTGTTTTTTTTAACAATAACAGCGCGATTTTTTCTCTTAAAATCAGTTAATATGACGAGTAGGAAATATTGTGCTGTTTTTGGTTGTATGAATTCGTCAATAACACATCCAGACATAAGTTTTTTTAAATTACCTGGAAACTCTGAAAGGTAAGACTATAAAATAATTTTACTTACTAGTAGGTAGGTACATAATGTGTGTCTTTTTAATGGATAGGTATTTCCTTTTATCTTACGAAAAAAAAGGTGTTTGGATTAATAAATAAAGCGAATAGAGTAACGGAAAGTTATTGAGACGAGTGAAATAGGTAGTTATATGCGGTTCTGAATGAATCATGATACGGTAGGTACCTACCTACTTACGCTTGTGTTAAAACTTCGGTGCATGTGTGTTTTGTTACTTTGCATAATTCAAAGTAAAGACGTGGTATTTTATTTTTAATAACATTTGTTTATTATCTGTGTGTATGAATAATACTAGAATTATTTTTTTACCGTCTGTGTGTCATTAGATAGTTTTCTAAATTTTCACAAAGTGTTTCTGCTGCTACTATAACAACATATACCACTAAAAACTGGTTTTATTTTCTCGGTATTAACAACAACAGCTAGACTCATATATAATATTTAGATGTTTTAAAACTGAAACTTGAACTCCTCCAATGCAGAAAGAAAATAAAATAATTAAATCTACCAATCAAAAAACAACACGCATTTTTATTGAACACTTCCTATTCAATATACAAAGTATTTCATTTATTTATATAAAAAGGATATTTACAATCACAAATCTAAATAGAAACAGAAAGAAAGCAAATATAATTAAAATGCTGGAGACGGGCAGCCCTAACGCATGTTTAAGTACCGCGCGGCTGTAGGCAGTTATTTCTATCATGCGGCCGAGTTACACTACTGTATTATAATAGTACCGTGGCGGCGTGCTCTGCTGAGTCTATAATTAAATATTCTTCGACTTGCAGTCAGACATTCTTTTAGATATGGCCGCATTCGATTTTTTAGTAATGGAAAGGCTTCATCTCCAACTAAGACGTAAGGCATGTTAATACCACCCTCAGTTAAAGGTTCTTCTTCAGGAAATCGTATATTACCACTTTTTAGCTTCTCACCAAATTCGCTTTCGCTAAATATACCACTGTCACTGAATCGGCCCATAGATCCAATATCTACTACAATAAACTTGCGTTGTGAGTCACATACAGCCAATAAAACAATAGAGAATGTTTTTTTATAGTTAAAATATATTGATCCTGAGTTCGGTGGGCATTGAATCACCACATGTTTGCCATCTATTGCCCCACAGCAATGGTCAAACTGGCACACTCTTTTAAAATCTATGGCAATCTGTTTCCATTCGGCTTGAATCGGTTCTTTCAATACTATTGGTTGTAGTCTTATCCATAATGCGTCACACACTTCTACTACAATTTTCGAGATTGTTGACTCGCCAATTCTGTAACTGTAACCAATACTTCGAAAAGATACACCAGTCGCCATACCTGTAACAAATTATGCTTTGTTTCAGTTGCAGAGACTCGAGATTTGTGGAAGAAACTAAGAGACGGTCATCGCCAAGCTATCTCCAAAAAGAAAACTGTCTCTGGCCAAGCGGCTACTTCCAAGCATCAATGGAAATATGAAAAACAGATGGAATTCATTTTACCTTGAATGCAAAATCGTCAAAGATTTACAAAAATTTCATCTTCATCCAATCAAAATAGCGATCAAGGAGAACCGCACTATACTGAAGACTCATATGATAGTGAACTAGACCACTAATATCGGTCATGGAAAAGGAGCAGAGAATGAGGGCAGAGCGATCTGCTCAACGAAATGATTTAAGAAAAGAAATACTACTTTCGTGCCGAAACAGACCGCAGCATTGGAAATATTTTTTTCAAGTATGTGTATGACCACTCAAACACTTCCAGAAGCACTCCAACTCAAGGTGCAGCGTCAATTATTCAATATAGTTATGGAAGCTAAAGAAGAACATATGAATCAATCGAAGAATTCTTCTGAGAGATAATCTACAGATGTACATAGCTTTATAGTCCGGGAGGTACCGTTGCATTTTAGGTAGTGTTTTTACGCCGGTCGGTTGCCATCTTGTTCAATAGATGTCGAATGACTGATAAGTAAACCGAGCGTCAGCTGACGCACCCGCGGTGGGTGTAAGATTGAAAGGTTCCGGAAGTGGTGAAAAAAAAAATTAAGTCATAGTACGCCGGCTGAATTTCATTTCATAAATATTTTACATCATACAGAGCTAAAAAAAAATCGTCAGCTGCATAGTGGAGGGGGGATTATGCGTCAGCCGCTCGCTTGAACTTGTAAAAAAACACGTAAAATAAAGTTATAGTACGCCGGATGAAATTTAACTAAGTGATTGTTTAAATTATCAAAAGTACGAAAACAACAATCAGCTGCGTGGGTAGCGGTGGAAAGACCGTCAGCTGACGCACTAAGGATATAGATTATTCGAGTAATGCACAGTTTCTTTCAGGGTCCAGCTGACAGAACTCCCCTGTCCGCCCCCAACTGACTGATTGTTTTTGCAAACGTAACTATTACACTACAGTATTGTCTAATTTCAACCGGCATATTGAAAATTTAATGATAATCTCGAGAAGTTAATAGCATGTGTAACAATATCGTACGAAAATATTTTGGTGTTTTTCTTGTTTTATTTTACATAGATGAAAGAAATGCATAATATAAAATAATATCATCAACTAATATAAAGGGAATTTAAAAAAAAAAGAGATAGAAAGATAGAAATCGATATAGAATTATTCGTAATATATAGTATCGCTATCGTCATCGTCCCCAGATGAATCGTTATCAGAACTTTCGTGTTCCTGATCTCGAGCCTCTTCTTCATCACCTGTAAATGAACAGGTTAATCATTAAAATTCGCATACCAGAATATACACGCTCAAATAAAGTGTCAACAACAAAAATTCCATACCAGCAATATTTTATTTTATCCGTTATACTGCCGACTGATGGGGGTACTTGATATCCCTCGAACCATTTGAAAACATATTTGTCTTCTTTTTCTTCCCATCCCCAGTCAATGGGAGATAATTGAGAAGGCTCTTGAAGGTTAGCATGGCTCCCAAAGGTGCGCGATATATGCAGTTCGCAGTAAATGCTGGCGTAGCTCCGATTTACATGGTGGGAAGATAGCTCCATCGATACGGTTTTTCCACTTCAGCATATCGTTCTTATTATTAGTTTCTATTATTAGTTATTTACTAAACGTGGCGACTCGTGTAGCGTTGACATCGTTTATACCTTTGAATCCGTACAGACGACAAACAAATTCTTCAATCGTTGCGAAGACGTGGTCTATTGTACAATTCGGGATATTTGCAATATTACCCAATGCTTGCATTATATGCCTGAGATTTTCGCAACAATTGTAGAGGCTTATTTTTTCCTTTCCGGTAAAATGCAGGATTGAAATCGCAGCCTGTGAGAGCATGAAACCCTGGCAACGTAGAGCACAAATTGGTTCCCAAATTTTCGTGTAATTTCGTAATAAACGTTTATTTACGAATCTTTGGGAATTCCCGAAACCAATGTGCATGGTAATTTTCAAATCGTTTTGAATAGCATTCATATTGCCAAGCATTATGATAAACATATCCGTATCTGAGCATCTTATGGTAACGTGAGCATCGAAATCTACCTTACAAACGTGGAATACAATTTTTTTTTTTACGGTTGGATCTTCGACATATTCGAACTTGCGTCCGTTCTTTCAAAGAGTACAACCGAAACTGATGTTCCTTTGAAATTTTAGGGGGAGAGGCTTGGGTAACCCGAAGGTCGTGTTATGGTCTCAGGCAGCTCCAGAATCTATGTCGAAATATGTGTTTAAATATGTGTTGATTCCGGTTTCGGCTTGGTAAGCAACAGACGTATCAGTCTCGACAAAAATATCTCGAAACTGTACTTAAACCCGTGCTAATAACACTACTCTGCTACTATCAACAAAGATCCAGTTGTGGAAAGTGCAGGAAAATCGGAGTCACACTTGATTAATTACTGTGAAGTGAGAAATTTGCCGAAAACTTCCACCAAAATAACCTAACAAGATAAAGTGACTGGTGAGAAGTCGTGTCAATTGCAAGTGACACTTGATAGTTCTACCAACCTTAAATATCGAGGAGTGAGACAGAATCTATGTCGAAATATGTGTTTAAAAGGAGACAGCGTAGTAGCAATGCTCCAATATTTTTAACTTTTACTGCGTCAGCTGACGGTCTTTCCACCGCTACCCACGCAGCTGATTGTTGTTTTCGTACTTTTGTTAATTTAAACAATCAGTTAGTTAAATTTCATCCGGCGTACTATAACTTTATTTTACGTGTTTTTTTACAAGTTCAAGCGAGCGGCTGACGCATAATCCCCCCTCCACTATGCAGCTGACGATTTTTTTTTAGCTCTGTATGATGTAAAATATTTATGAAAAGAATTTCAGCCGGCGTACTATGACTTATTTTTTAATTTTTTTTCACCACTTCCGGAACCACACACACCCGCACCCACCGCTACTTGAGCAGCTGACGGTTGGTTCACTTATTGGTCATATTAGATCAACCATCGATGACAATATCAGCCGGCTTACTATGACTTTTTCATTTGCAACGGTACCTCCCGGACTATTAGAGGCAATTCACCATTTCATGTACCTATAGACAATACATCCCATTCCCATTCAGCGATGTCTAACTATTCAGCGACGGATCCCCTGCATAATACATCACAATCGTACATCATTACAGAAACTATTCCAGAAAGTCACCAGCAGAATGTTTCGGAAGATGCATCCTCAATGTGTAACATTCGCAACTATTTAGAACAATCAAATTTTGAGTAAATACCTACTAACCTACTATGTTCCAACTTTGTATTCTGACTGTCAAAACCATTGTTTTTATCAATAAATCGGTTGTAATAATATCGGTTTGTAATGTTTTATTTATATTGGTTAAGCTAAACTGTGCCTCGTCTTACGGAGGTACAAGTTACAATTTACAAATATAAAGCTGGATTCTCACAAAAACATAAACTTCATGGTTAAAAAATGCTGTAACTAGCTTTTTACTTGTAAATTGTAACTTGTAAAGACAGGCGGACTGTATTCCCACAGCAAAGTTTGAGTTTTTAGACAGAAGTGCAATGTTCTTACCTTAAGCATACTGCAAGTCTTTCTTTTGAAGATATACATTGACGCATGTTTGTATTTTGTTTCTCAATATCTCTTTGAACTAAACTGTGAAGTGCGTCGAAAACTTCTCTTGAGATTTTAAAATACTCATGAAACTTCTTTTCTGAGAGATCTTCCAAAATATTTTATTCTCCACGGTCTTTCCTATTTTTAATATGAATTTCTACCCAAATGGATCTTCTTCTAGAGCGTGCAAGAATTATATGTACATCAAATTCAAAATCGGAATCGTCACCAGATGAGCTATCCAATAAATCTAGCAGGCAAGCATGAGCCATAGTTAAATCACTCTGTATATTGGTTCAACACAGGACACGTGCGGTCGCGACGAAAGCTTACAATATATTATCGTATCTTCGTCGTCTGTGATGGCCTAATATATATTAATTTTAAATCTTAGGATAAAATATTATAGTATCTTAGCCGTGTGTAGCGCCCATAATTAGGGATTGTGATGCGCCTGTATCTATTAAGAATCTGCCACCTAGTTCATTAATGTAAATGTAAGGGAGACGATTGTAATTTTTAATGCTGTTTATGTAAATTAGGTTGTTGTGTCTTTTTCCAAGTCTAATAGAAAATTTCCGTCATTTGTGTCGGAAAATTCCTTCTCAGGGTTTTCCTCGGGAATGTCGTCTTGTTCTTCATCCGAGTCAACTCCCTCCTGATAGTGAATTTTTTGATTTGGTTCTGAACTATTAGACGTCTGCCTTTTATACAAATTTTCTTTTTTTTGTAAAGGACGTATTTTATATTTGTTTATTAAATTTAATATTGGTGTTAGTTTTAGGCGGGCTAATTTTGTTCTGTATGGCATGCTTTGCTCTGAGTTTTAACTCTTCCTGTTTTGCTACGGTAATAGCCTGCTCTAAATCTGTAATATATTTGATTTTTATCAAGATTGCCGTAATCGGGTTTAATCTGTCCAGAAAAGTTTCAAGTGCCATTTGCTCATAATAAATATTTTTTCAGGGTTTTTTGAAATTAATGTAGTCATAAAGCTTCTTATTTTATCTCCAAACGCGTCTAGTGAACTATTTTCCCTATTCGTTTCCATTAGCTTTTGTACTAACTGCAGTTCGGACCTAAATTCGCGAATTGTCTTAATAGGGTATCCTTAATATAAGTCCAGGTCCTTGTGCCTGGGCTTTGAGATAAAGCCTCAACAGCTTTTCCCGTGAGTTTATTTCTAATAAGACACGTAATGCAAGGGTCTTCTATATTAGTTAAAATATTTAGGCCGTTTTCTACACCTTCGATGTAAAACGCTAGTGTTTTCTTGTTCCCATCGTAACTGGGTAACAATTTTGAGAAAATCGCGAAGTCGGCAGTTACCGGCTTTGCTTCTATAAAGAATTTTTCACCCTGAGCCCCCTTTTCAGTAACCATTTTTAGATAACAAATTAAGGGTAAAAATGTGAAAATATGGTCACGTTGTTTTTGCGGTGACATACACAATGAAAAGCAAAATGTACCTTAGACTAAACACTACACAGTTGCAGTTTATAGGAGTCGTCAGGACTAAAATAGAGGATTCTCGGGCATAAATTGAGTTAAAACTTACCCCACGAGCATTGCCGATTTGTAGGCTTTGATGAAGATTGAGTCTGCCGTCTTACGTGGTTTCTGCCTTTGATGCACTGCACCCACTGTGGGTTCTTTGCCGTGAAAGAATTTAGCATTATTTCAGGATACTTCCCAAAATATCACACTTTTCCTTATTTCACGTTTACAGACTGCGCCAGTTAGGTTGTAGGCGAAGGCGAAAGGCTTTTTAAAAACACTAGAGACGTGTGCTCCGCTTGGAGAGCAATTCAGAACTGTTTATTGAATAAAAAGCTTATCATAAATACAATTCTTAGAACAAGGGATTGGGTATACAAAACTAATGTTTCCTGTGTGACATTACCAGGAAGTGATATGACACTTATCTTAATGTCCTAATTAACAATAAGGCCATTATGGGATGGCATTGGTTATAAGGACATAACTCTAGTGGTAAATATTTATCTTTCAACATATAAAAAAATCTGAATAGTCTAGAATCTGGTGCGACCAGACAAGATAAACTTTTACATAAATAGAAAAAATGAGGAACAATTTCTTATTAGATATAAAAATCTTTTTAAATATCTCCAAATAGGTAGTAGCAAATTTAACTTCTTGTCATAATTATTTTAACCCATTAATGGTTAAAATAAAACTAAAAAGATTTTTTAGAAAATTGGTTTATTTATTAATTTTAGAGGATACGAAAATAAAGTGAAAAAAAAGTTTTTCAGGAATTTGTAGGATTGTCCATTTAAGAGTAGTAATTTTTAAAATACTGTTTTTCAATGCACATTGTTTTCATGCATTTCTTGCAGCCCCATCGGCCTCTATTATGGAAAATGACACAGCGCACGCGTTTCGGAAGCTTTTCAGGAATGTGATCTGTACCATCAAGTTGCAGACCCTCTATGTTGAACGATGAAGGACGAGCAGTGTCTTTGGGGTGATTGCTTTAGATAGAATCTGGCTATGCTTCGTCGAAATAGTAGTTGATCCATAGGTTCTTCCCTACACTGAATACGTAATCGCCAAGCCTTTGCTATGGCCATATCAATCATGTAGGTATACAATACCCACCACCATTTTTGCCATGAATGCTGTTTCTGTACAGTGAGATAGACTGATCCATTTCATCTACTTCACCCATGCCTTAATATAGTTTTGAAATAAATGTGAAATTGTCTTATCAGTCTTTTGCTTCTTTTCTGCCGACCATCTATTTACTGTTTCCACCGAATCATAATAATCATAAGAAAAAATTCCAATACCGTTTTACTGTTGTTTTAGTTGAGAGCATCTGACAGAATTTGTCATCCTTATTGGCATAGAGCTAATAAGCAAGCTAATTGAAATGTGGAGAGAGTTAGTGAAGGTGACGGTGAAATACAGAATCCAGAAGGAACCATCCATTTACCGGATTTGAGAAAGGCGGTGTTACGTTGTAACAAAGTAAATGCACAAACTTACAACATAAATAAAGAATATAAATATAATAAAATCATTATATAAATATAAATATAATAAAATCTTTTCACACAAATAATTTTATATTTAAATAAAAAGATCATTTCACACAGACAAACAAAGTAATTGTTACGATCGAATGGAAACCGCCATAGAGTAACATAACCTAATAGAGTTGTCACTCTAAAAAATGAGCGCCACTCGTGGTGTGAACATAACCTAATATTATTAAAAACATAACCATAAATATTATACTGTATGTATATTGGTCAGCTAGGCAGCTCAGTAGAGCAACAAATTATATTTTAACTTCATTATACGATAGAATTTTCTATCGCACAATGAAGTTTATTATTATTTTTTGTTCAGGGAATAGAAAATAAAAAACAAATTATTTCTTTCTTTTTGTTCTTTTCTTATTATAATCAAATGCCATTATTTGTATCGAGTCTTCCTCATCAACATCAGTTCTTGCGCCATTTATAATTTTATTTACATCTTTGCACCAACTATGTATATAGAAATAAATTACATGAAACATCTTCTAAATACCGTATTATATCACATTTATGATTTTGGCATAAAATAAAATTGTAATCTACGTGCACTGCTAACATGGTCTTTATACATATATATTTATATATATATATATATATATATATATATATATATATATATATATATATATATATATATATATATATATATATATATATATATATATATATAAGATTTTATATTTTTCCATTTAATATTATGTCTAATAATATAAATGACAATATCTTGTATATGTGAAAACATTGAATTAAGCTTGTAGCAGGTTATGTCAAACATTTTTTACTTTGAAGTCTCTTTCAAACCTATATACGAGTTGTTATCTTCGTCTATTAAATAATTTTTACATGAAATACAATTTTTGAAAACTTTCGTGTTAATTAATATTATTTTAACGGGAATTAACGCGATCTCTTATTTAGGGTATTACATACCTCTGGTTTGCCTGACGTTTCGACCAGGTTGCACCGGCCGTGGTCACAGGCTGACTGGCTCATCGGCGCACGCCCTCCGTCGTCGAATCCGTGAAGTAGAAGGCTCTTCATCTACCCGCACATTTTCGATATTGTTGTTGTTTTTGTGTCGCCATGTACCGTCACATACCACACTAACAGTGTCCCTATTCTGTAAGCAAACCGATGAGTCCCTATTCTGGTGTTTAACCGATTGCGCAGAAAAGCGAGGTGGTATGTTTTTTAACACTGGATTCCACGCTGTAGATAATTTAAAACCATCCTCCCGATTGAAAGTTTTATGCTTTTTAATCTCAATCGCTTCACATACAACTCTTGAGTAAAAGTGACGTTCGGTGGAGAGGACTTGCGTGCGGTGAAATTTAATCCAGCGATATGCTCTTTGACCCTTTCTGCAATAGTCCGCTTAGTTTGGCCTATGTATGAGCTTCCGCAGCTGCAGTCTATTTTATAGACACCCGGAGTTTGTAGTGGCAATATATCCTTCGGTGTGCCGACGATGTTGTGAACCTTTATGCCTGGTGTGTATACTGTCGGAATGGAATATTTCTTTAGCACAGACCCGATCTTGTACGTAACTCCCTTGACATAAGGCATATAGGCCGGTTGCCTGTTCACTTCTGGATACTGGCGTCTTATTTTCGGTTGCTTCCGTCCTCCTTTCACTTGATATCCGTTACCTTTGAGTACCTCCTGAACATGTTTTAGCTCCTGTTCTAAATGTTCAGGGTCACAGAGATTGTAAGCTCTGTTTTTGAGTGAAGTCATAACAGATTGCAAGTGCCGGAGGTGATGATGAGACGTGGCGTGTAGGTATCTGTCCGTATGAGTAGGTTCTCGGTACACACAGTGTAACAAGGACCCATCCGATCTCACGGCTACTTTAACATCTAAGAAGGACAACGACCTGTCCGTCTCCATTTCATATGTAAAACTCATTTTGGGGTGAATAGAGTTAAGATGTTGTATATATTGATCCACTTCTTGTTTGTTTCCTTTGACGATACTGAAAATGTCATCCACGTATCGCTTCCATAGCTTAACGGTATTCGGGCCGAGATTTAAAGCCTTCTCTTCAAAATGTTCCATCCAGATGTTGGCAAGTACTGGGGCTACAGGACTTCCCATCGCGACACCATCAATCTGGAGGTAATGTTGACCTTGGAAAAGGAAATAGTTGCCATCTAAACAGTGTTCAAGTAGATCCATATAGTTTAACGGCAGCCCGTTGTCTCTCAGTAGGTCTTTTACGACGTTTAGGCACTCCTTTATTGGAACATTGGTGAAAAGCGACTCCACGTCAAAGCTCACCATGACGCAATCCGGTTCCAACGTCAGATCTTTTATGACTTGTATGAAGTGCCGTGAGTCTTTCACAAAAGACGGTGTTTTGCCTATAAGTGGTTGCAATACTGAAGCAACGTGCTTTGCTAGATCGTAAGTAGGAGAAGCAATTTGACTTACAATAGGCCGCAGCGGTACGTCAGGCTTGTGTATCTTAGGCAGACCATATAATTTCGGTGGCTGGTGTGACTTTGGTTTGTAAAGTCTGTTGTACTCGTCTTCTGAAAGTAGGTCCTCATTGTCCCGGATTAGAGATCGTATTTTTCGCGTTACTCTGGCCGTGGGATTGTATGTTACCGGTTTATAAACCTTTTTATCACTCAACAGTTAAAGTATTTTACTTTTGTAATCAGTTGTATTCATCACTACGGTAGCGTTTCCCTTGTCGGCCTTAAGCATTAAAATATCCTGGTTATCCCTAATGTTTTTTAATGCTTGACGCTCTTCGATAGTGATATTACTAGCCGGAGGCTTTGACCGACGTAATATTACCGCAACGTCCTGTCTTAGGATATCGGCATCGCCGGGCGGTACTTTGTTCCGTGCAATCGATTCCTCGACGCTACTGATTACATTCTCGAACGGTATTCGTTTAGGTGTCGAAGCGAAGTTCATGCCTTTAGCTAAGATGTTCATTGTTGTATCATCTAAACTCATGTTTGATAAGTTTACAACGGTGTCCTTCGATCTCTCGGGTACCCCGGGTGACGCTTTATTTTCTGTATACCAACGATTATATTCCTTCGAGAACTTTCGATCAAAATTTACACTACATAACTCGAAGGTACGACTCGCTTGTAAAAACGTAACCCGGTCACACAAATCATAGTCCGATTGAGATAGATTAACACTGCACTTTAATCACTTTAGGCACTATGTAAGCAAAATATTGTCATTTAATAAGAGATCATCATCAATTTCCATAAGAAAATTATTGTCTTCAGATTTTTCAAAAAAAATATTTTTATTGATTGGAAGACAGTGCATGAGTCTTGCTCACAGTTTGACCCTGGGGAGTGATAGGCACTTAAATTATTTATAAGCAAAGAGGAAAAGGCGGCTTCGAAGCCAGCACATGAGGGTGTTATATTTCTGTACCCATGGCTTCGAATGCTACCAAAAAAAATTTCTAATGGGTCTTGGTTGAAGTGCCTCATCCACAGAGATGCCAAATCATATTGAGTAAATATTTTTTGAACTAAATATTCTATATTTTCAATACTTTGCAGCCAATTAGTTATTGAAGGTACGACAGTGAAGCCATTACTGGTAACAAACTTCATTGTTTTTAATACTTCTTTTGCTTCTCGCCATATTTTATGATGTCCAGAAGATGGTGTAACTGGTCCAAGCAATGGTTTGCCAGACCTCTTTTTTTAATTTTTGTGACTCCCATCGAACAAATTGTCAAGAAATAAAATAAATCAGCTGTTTTTTTACAATCTTTTGAAATTATTCCTTTAATTATTAATTAAGCATAAATATATGAATTTTATTATATACGAGTAATAATCATATTGCAGCATTTATTTATACTCATTATGTGATTACATCAGAAAATTCTAAAATACAAGCATATTTTATTGTAGAAGGATAGACATACAACTGCTACTGTTATTTAATTTTATCTTGCTGCTGAATATTTTTTTTTTAAACAAGGTTTTATTTAAATGCTTGTTTTTTGTAAGAGTTTTTACAAGCCTGGCCTCTGACATGGCTTGTCGCAATCTTAACGATAGCAACTGGGACCAACGGCTTAACGTGTCTTCCGAAGGACGACCAGAACGGAATAAGCAACACAAAGACTTGTTTCGCCGGGAATCGAACCCGGGACCTTTCGTGTATTGGGCACTTTCAAGTCCATAGCAGAAGCAACTACACCTCAGATGTCGTCCTTGCCTTGTCGTCCGTGTTTGCCTTAGGTTTGATGTAATTAATTTTTTTTCTTTTTTTCTAATTGCAAGATTCCACCCGAACATACATAGATACATACATACATTGCAAGTTAAATCAAAACATGTAATAAAACCAATGCAGAGCTCACCACATGTTACACCTGTCGACTGCACAAGTAAATTAAAAATAATGTTTGATAACTTACTTGCCAAATATCCCATGTTGACTGATACAGATTGGCTAAAAAGCTGAGATGCACATTTAACTTTCATTTTGGCTATCTTCTCAGGCACAATATGTTTGTCAGTTAATTTTGGCATTAACATTATACCCTGGTAAGCTGGGTCTTCTTTGTACAACTGCAAAACATGCTCCAATTTTGCAGTTTTTTCTTCACCACCTACATCTTACATTTTAAATTCTTTGTAAGTAAAGTATTACGAATCCCCTTTAGAAGATGTGGGGTATCATATATGGGTATAATTTCTTCATCATCAATTTCGAACACCTTATTTCTTTGTTCTATATTATTTTTTTAATATTTTTCTTTTGTTTGTTGAATTAGATAATTAAGCGCACTGACATTTGCAAAGCCCTGGTCACAAATGGTCCCCATAACCTTAAATCCTGCTGAGTTCAATTTTCTTATATATTATATTTTTATATTTTTTCTTATATATTATATTTTTTATTTGAGCTGCTAGCTCAGCCTTGTATGTACTACCAGCGCAAAAAGTATACGCAACAGCTTGTTTGTAATTATAATATATGCCTCTAATCATGAATACCAAAGCATGGTCAGCTATTTTATTGTGCGTGACTTCTCCATTGTCGATAAAATCAATAATTGCATCACGTTTTCGGTTATAATCAAAATGGGGCATCAATGAAATTTCGTCAAATAAGAGCAAACAAAGCTTTTGTTTTGTGTTCATCTTTTCATCTCTAGTCTTTAGTTCTTTAAAAATAATTTCATTTATTCCAGCTTTCAATGATGCTGTGGAGATCATTCTACTAAGTGTTAGGGGGGATGGTAATATAAAAACATTTCTGAGCCATCTGTATGCTCTTGGTCCCTGTTAATACAGAGCTAATGCTAAAACCTTTTCTTCTTTCTTAAATCTCCTACCCATTTTTTTTTTGCTTTCACGAAACTGCATCATCATGAATAATAAATACGAAATAATAAAAAAACAGTAAATTTGCTTACTGCCTTTTGGAATGTTGCATTTTCGGATAATTTCAAAGCCTTTTTCAACCTTGTCGACATGGAGTTCTTGGACAGTTGGAGCTTGTGCAATTTCTTTTGAAGCCAAGATGCTTCATTTGAGTTCCTCTCAGATAAAGGCAGATTTTTCGCACCTGTAAGGTAAAAATAAAAATAAGCTATACAATATACTGTAATATTAAAAAATAAAAAATAAAATATTTGAATGTAATTGTGTAAATGTCAATGTTATCTGTGTTCTAAACAAACGAATAAACTAACTGGTGGCACCACAAAGCCTAACAAAACTAATAATCTCGGGCGCCAGGTGCCCTATCCTTAAATGAACACAGACATCCTATCCTATGGGGGGCAGCTATTAAATACAAAGATGTTAAGTTCAAGTGGCAGTTTATTATCCCGTAGTGTCTGTAGAGTACATGGTATCCTAAAGTTCTAATTACTATATGTAATTCTTATACTCAAATTAGTACTGTCGTTAATGCAATCTGTTTAACTGAATAAAACAAACTAAAATTAAATATGTTTTAAAGAGTCACATAAAGACTTAATAGGAAATGAATCTAAGGGTAGTTGTAGCATCGACCTACTCCCTTAATAAAAATAACACCCCTTGGGGACCTGCGGTATCCGATGCCACAACGCCAACCAAATTAATATAAAAAAACATACCAATGACTTTGGCTCAGTCCGAATGAAATTAGGGCACAATCAATTCTAATAAATCTCACACCAGCTCCCACGTGGTTGTAGAGGCGGGGTAAGTATTCCAAGGTTCCCGATAATGGACTGCAGCTAAACAGCTTTTTCTACCATTATAGGTACGCTCTGCGGCAAACTAAATCCCTGGGTCGGGCCGGTAGCGAGGCAAAATCCAAATGTAACGTAATGACATTACAATCCAATAAGAGAATTGAACTAGAGGTTAAGTAAAAATCTGAAGTAAGGTAAAGAAAATAAGGTATAACAAGAAATTAAGGTATAAATAGAAACCCTGATTCACCTGAAACAACGAAAATTATAGGTTATTTCTCAAAAGATGAATCCTAAATCTGGTAAGAAACAATAATTTACTCACCAGGGTTCCAAAACGTTTCACAAACAAAGCAGCGGCATTATAATTAATTCCTGTAACCAAATAAACAAAGATTTAAAACAACTAATCTCGATAAGCCAAGCATGAACCATCCGGCTTAACAAGACTTACCTTTACAATGAAAATATCAATTCCAACAAATAACTCGTGTCATTAACGAGACCGGCCAAACATTAAAAGATGAAGTATGCCTTCGATTACAGCAAACAAATATGGATTACTAATCAAAAAAAATTACAATCTCTCGCCCTCTCTCATCTCACCCGGGCCGACGCGACAAAAAATGTTGCCAGAACAAGAAAAACTAAATCGACATATTACCATAGACGATCAGCACCGACCTTTATTCTCGTCCGTGACACCGTCGATCGGCGCTCGCTGAAACGTCATAAAATTCGACCGTCAAACCAAAAACGCGTCGATAAACAAATTTTCTGTAAGGGTGCGAAATGCACCGTTACCAATGCACGGTCAACCACTAGTTAAACATATTAAAACATGAGATTTCGTGTAAAATGTAGGTAGGTGGGCCGGTTTTTCTGATGACCAGTGTATTTTAGGTATGTATTTATGTTTTAGGTTAGTAAAACCGAGGTCATACTAAAAATGAACTAGGCAAATCTCTTTTGTAAAATCTGAAGTGAGAGATAATCCTACTAATAAGGTTACTTTTTAATCTTATCTTTCAATACACTAGAATCTGTTAATTCGTTCTCCCCTTTTTCAATGCTGGCTTTTGAGGTAGACTGAACTAGTTCCATACTTTAAATATTACATTTAGAGGTTGATGGAAATCCTGAAAAAATGATTATTACTTTTTAATTATCATTCATGACATTTGTTAATTTCTCTAGCTATTTGCTAAGTTGCATATAGATGTATTTTTATTTTGAACGAAAGTTAATAAAGTTCAAAGAAATTATTTTAAAACTGATGACTAACAAGGGACAAAAAGTTAAAAGTGCTAATTAATAAATGGCATTAATATCAGCATAAGATGTAAAATAAACTTAATATTACCATCAAGCACAGGTTGCTTAGTTGATGTCTTATCATTGTTCGCTTTAGAGGTAGATTGATGATCGGTTTCAACATTTTCCAAATTGCAGATAGTATTGGTGATATTTTTCAAAGGAAGGCTCTTAGAGATTGAAAACCCTGTAAATATGTTATACATTTTAGGAAATGAATGGTGATCATATTTTTATTTCAACAAAAAGCTTAAAGTCTAAACTACATTTAAGCGCAATACACACACAGAGCGGGTGCGGGCGCGGGTTGTGTGTCTCACGTGACACGCGCTGTTCGTCGCCTTCACACACAACGCGGGCGCGGGCCGTAGGCGGGTCGGCCGCGGGCATGCCATGCTAGCAACTGCGGATTCAGCAGGCAACACATGCAGTGTGATTGATAATGTCGGGGGATTCGGACACGGACGAAGAGTTATTATTTCTACTTATTTTGAAAAGAAGAGCTCAGAAACGAAAAAGAATCTGGGTTCATGAAATTAATAAAAAAAGACTACAATATGGAGAATATCATCGCCTGTGTAGAGAATTAGAAACGTACGAGGATCGCTTCTACAAATATTTTCACATGTCAAGGGCGAGTTTTGAAGAGTTACATGATAAACTGAGAACAAGAATATTTAAACTACAAGAGAAAAAACTCGCAGTTTGTTTAAAGTAAGCAAGCTTTTATTTATTATTTTTTAATTAATCATAAGAATAGTATCAATAGCCTCAATAGGCGTTTTTTTTAGAAATAAGGCACACGATGGTTGTTATATTTCTTATTTAGATATTTGTAGAATTAAATGAAGTTGAAGGCACATCTTTCAGTGACATATCTTCTGAGCGAATATTTGTACTCGTACATTGTGCATTATCTGAATGAATTGAGTAAACATTCGTGAGATCACCAACTATTGCATTCGATAAGTCTTGTGGCATATTACTTATCTGTTCTACATTTTTGTGAATAAATGAATCTTCTGAATTTGTATTGTCTGGTATTAATGACATCACAGAATAAGCTGGTGATTGGTTTACATATTCAGTAGACGACATTTCGCTTATCTCTGCTTCGGAAAATAATTTAGCTAAACCTACTTTTAGCATAGCTTGTTTCCGCTGCGATAATTTTTTGAACGTTTGTGCGTAGCTTAAAAATAAATAGTCGACATCGTCGTGCCTCGTTTTTTTCTTTTCCAAGTAGCTTTTAATCATGTTGTCGACATCTGGCTCATCTGGCTCTCTAGTCTTTTTTTTGACCCGGCGGGGTGTTTCAATTGGTTCGTTCGATGATAATCGAAAAGTCGATATTGGATTCGAAGATTCTAAGGATTCGTGCTCGACGAACGTCGCTGTCGCTGGCATATCCGAATTTTCTGAGATTTCGGTTGGGTGGTCTCCAGAAACGTTAGATGCAGTTCCTCTGGGGTTAATACCACTATCCAAAAACGATAGTTGCGCAGACCACATGAAGCTAATAGATTTTCTTTCACTCCGTGTTGTTCCTTTTAATTGCTTTTTATATTTAATGTATCCATCCCTCATACTTTTCCACTTCTTCTTTATTGTATCACCTGCAAATTAGAAAAATAAATTAGTTTATTTTTATTTCAGGTACCTAACGACTGGTGATTTGTATCAAAGTATAGGATTCTCTTATCGACTCGGAACCAGTACTATTTCGAATGTAGTAAAAGAAGTATGTAAAGCCATATGGGAGAAACTGCAACCAACATACATGCCTACGCCTTCAGAAGATACCTGGAGGCAGTCGGAAGTGGGTTATAGAGAAATATGGAATTTTCCTAATTGTGTTGGAAGTATTGACGGCAAACATGTTAATATTAAATGTCCTGCTAACAGTGGTTCAAACTATTTTTGTTACAAAAATATATTTTCAATAGTTCTACTGGCCATAGTAGATCCATTTTATAAGTTTGTCATGGTTGATATCGGAAGTTATTATTATATAAGACAGCTCCATTTTTGAGAATTCAAGATTTTATCAAGAATATATTCGCTATAACATGTTATTGCCTCCAAAACCGTTACCAGGCACAGATGATCCCGTTCCCCATGTATTAATAGGCGATGAAGGATTTGGACTTAAAACTTATTTAATGAGACCCTTTCCTAGGGCCACAGTGTTACAAGATACACGAAAAACCAACTTTAATTATAGACTATGCCGTGCAAGGCGTGTTGTAGAAAATGCTTTTGGGATATTAACACACAAATGGCGGGTATTTAGAAGACCTATGGAATGTAAAGTTGAAACTGCAATAGATGTGGTCAAAGCTGCAACTTGTTTGCATAACTACATCATTGTCAAACGGGGTAATTATGACTTAGATTTTTCGCAAAACATGGCGGCGACGTCGGTTACTACAAGAGGATTAGCATCGATAAACCCCACAAATAGACGGTCAACAAGTGAATCTTTCCAAATTAGAGAAAAATTTGTTAACTATTTTAATACTAATAATTAAATAAAAATAAAATACTTACTTGTTTCATTTAATTGTTTTACAATCTGCTGCCATAGCCTAGCTTTCAAAACAGCGTTTTTGTAGTTTTTATCACTTGGTTCGTACAAACAACTATGTTTACGAACACATTCAATAATTTTTTCATTGACATCCATAGAAAAATCGAACTATTTTTTGTAAATATTCACAAAACAAACTGTCGACACGCGCAGCGCACGACCCGCACACGCGCCAGTGTGAGTGCCTTACGGAGAGTACGTGTATTACGAAGAATAGAATGACGTTATGCCCGCTCCCCACCCGCTTACCCGCGCGCTGACTGTAGTGGCGGGCGGCGGGCGCTACTCCCGCGCTCGACCCGCCCCGCACACGTTTCCAGTGTGATGTCTTTCATATAAATACAAAGAACTAGACCCGCCGTACTCCCGTCCCGATCCGCGCCGACCCGCGCCCGCTCTTTGTGTGTATTACGCTTTAAATATAATCATATCGTCAAAGTCGTAGAATAGTGTCGGATCTGACATTTATCGAACTTTACAGGGCAGCCATTTCAAATAATTATGTTAGTTTTTTTGACATAACTTTTTTAATTCTAAATCTGTAATTATGAAAATTGGCATACAAGTGAAAAATAGGGTTCGTTTTAAAATAGAATAAAAATAACAACTAATAATTACACAATTTTCTATAAAAATCACATGCTTCATTTTACTTTGGAGTCAACACAGTCACATAGTATTCTTATTATCCGACATTGTTCTTCGGACAGTTACTATTTAAAAAATGACGAATGTTACTTTCCGATCATGTTCTATCAACTTACCGAGTAATATTTTGGCGGATATGATAAGTTGATATGGTAAGTCGGGGTAGTAGGGTATAATAAGTAGGTAAGAAACACTCTTTTTTAATCAATTTAATAAACATTAAGCTTAAATTAAGCAACAACATTATTTCTGTACCACTTACACTAAAAAGACTATAATATTGAAGCTATTTGGACCTGATTACTTTTTTTGGTAAATTACTAATCTAAAGTATCACAATCATTCTTATAAGTATACCGAGTAGTAACAACATTTATTAAAATAAATAAAATCTTAAAAATCACAACTTTCGAGATCAAAATAGTAACGATTTAGCAACTAGAAATATTAATAAGTAATTAAAACGTATAAAACAATTCTGTTGCAATATTCAGTCAGATTCATTGTTATCATCAGAAACATTATGCCCATGAATTAAGTTTCTGAAAAAGTAATGGTATTTAGTAGGTATTATTAAGGAATCGCAAAGACTAGTAAGATCCTTATATTTATCCTTACTGATTGGAATTGGACCCACATAAGCTTTATGTAGGGGTGGAGTATTGTAATTCCTAGTCTCCTTTCGAAGTATAAGAGTCATATAATCATCAGATAAAGCATATTTGTATTGGATTTTATTGCTCTGAGTCCCAACAACACTAACTTCTTTTATGCCTGTTCAAGTAACTTTGTTGTTAGCTGTATTTTTAACCCAGTTCTTATTTTTTAGTTGATCTTTAAAATCAAATACTAACGCCTGATTTAAGTCTATAACTTCATAAGAATCACCGGTTACTTTAGCCCAACGTACAAGTAATTTCCATTCATCTGGTGTATAAATTGTTTTATGCTCAGCAGTCCTTTCTATCACACTGTGGACAGAATCCCCCTCGTTTTGGGTGTGTCCTTTTTCAAGAAATCTATGTGTTATATTTATATTATATTCTTTAGCGACATGAGCATATATACCAAATACTATGCGATTTCGATTCTGGCCAGCGCAATTGTCTGACCAGAATCGAAATTCTTTCACACCCTTCGATACAAATTTCTTTATGAAGTCATAGACGCAACTGGCTACTTCATTAGCCCCACGTTTGACCACATTTTCATCCCACATATAGCAGTAACCTTGTTTATCTGCAATATCGTAAATGATGAAATCATAGCATGACAGCTTTCGCTTGTAATACAATATACCCATTTGCCCGCGAGGACACGACATAACCTTTTGAAAATCAAAGGTAGCACAAACGATGCGTCCATCAGAAGTAATAGCGTCATTTTTATCATTTTCTTTTAAGGTCCTACTTTGTTTTTTACTATTTAAATGTTTTGCATACTGTTCTCTGAGGTCGTCAGATGGATTTTGTGTTTGTTTAAAACTGTGACACTGATCACAAGTATCCTTTTTGGGTAGATGGAAACTCAAGTTAAAGTGAGAATTAATTATATCTCTGTACTGTCTAAGGCTACAACATGTATTTGAATAATTATCGAGTTCAGGCCATTCTTTGTATAAGTTGTACATTCGCGCGATGCTCAAATCACCATCTAAATACAGTCTTTTGGACGCTGCTCTATTATAATGAGACTCTACCGGTACAAATGAATTAATATGGGCACAAACCGACTTTATCATCTCATCATCAACAATCCGATTATAATTTTTATGTTTACCTCTCATGTCTTTTTCAATCAAAGTGCTTCCATCATATTTATCCCAAGCTGTCCGAACTAATCTTTCACTAATCGAATATGTACTTAAAAACATGGTTTTACAAACCTCTATTTTTGCTGAGCCCTTTGGCAAAAAGTACTTGTAAGTGAAATGACGGTTATGCTTTAAATCTCTTTGAAGACCCCTTTTCTTCTTCTGTTTTGTAGTATAATTTGCAACATGCAACCATTGTTTCTCACTATCCCCTATTTCCCAAAATTTTTCAAATGCATGCACACAATCTTTCTTCGAGAGTCAACATAGTGTAACACATCTACACGTGCAAGGCTTATCTATTGATTTTGCTGGAATAATAACGCCCTTTTTGGAGGAGTATTCCTTTCCTGCATTCGTTAAGCGCTTTCTATTAACTTCTTTCCAATCACCGTAATTGCGTACACGTTTTTTACCTCTACATCGAATAAGAGGCACTGGAGACGACTGGCAAGAAGACACAGCTGTGTTGTTTGACGGACAGTTGCTATAGCTTGCATCATCGGGATTAGGGCCAGGAAAATCGTTACATACTTCACCATGGATTTTTGCTGGTGATGGGATAGGTGTTTGCCCGTTATTATCAATAGCTGGAGTAATCGGTTGAGGAAAAGGTGACAGATCTGATACCAACGTAGAGGTATTTAAAGGGGTTAAAGCCGAGCTGATATTTAAGGACACGGCACCGTGCTGATTTTCCGACGGAAGTAAAGCTGGTGAGGATGCATTTTGATACACGACCATAAAAGGATCATTTCTCGCAACAGAAGATGGTGTATGTTCGGGTTCATATTTTCATTTGTTAATTTTATGATTTTGCTTGTTTCGTGTCCGTCGTCTGAAAAGATGTCCTCATAAATATCATTCATCTTTTCAATTATGTTGCGTGCTCCCGGGGGTAATGGCGATTGGCATTCTGAAAAGATATCAGTCTATGTAAAAAATATAAATTATGAATATCGCAGGTCAACGATTACAATAAACCGTAAGATGATTCAAAGTCAAATGATTCGAGAGTATAAAAGTAATAAAAATTGCTTTTTTATTTATACATGTAACTTTTATAACTCAGATCAGATTATTATTATGTATTTAATATATTTTTACAGAAAAATATATTAAATACATACAAATAATCACAGTTTTTCAATAGAAAAAAGGTGGAAGTGAATTTATTTCGAAGAACAAAGTGGGATCGTTAGATACGACCATTCGATTAAACAGCATGTCCGCAGAATATCGTCGGTTGTGATCACGCGTCAGTATCATGTCCATAGAAAAATGTAATATTGTTACACACAACTTGAAAATCTATTTTTTGTTAAATATAATATAAACTCAACAGAATAATATTGTATTATCAGATAGAAGTTTTTACTTTTACGTAAATCACACTAGATTGATTTATTATTTTCCGTAGAAAACCGACGGATAGTCAGAACTGACAATATAATTATTTACTATTCAAAATTGTGTATAAATACAAGAGTCAAATAATAAAAAATGTTAATACATAATTCATTAACTTACCTGGAGTCCCTGGTATGCAGTCCTCCTCATCAAAGCACTCTTCATGAGTAGAACTCGTAATTTGTACATTTTCGCTTGTTTCTTTCACAAGTTTTAACATTCCTTTTGACCGTCCTGTTTTCATTGTAGCACACCTTTTAACATGGTATATAAAAACTATACACGAAACAATTAAAAATTAGGTAAACAAAGATAAACTAGTCTAATTCTTTTAGAAAAATCTAATCCGATGCAACGAGGGAGCGAGTTCGACGAATAGTGGCGATTGCGCGGGTGCGTCGTGCGCAGGTGGGAGCGGCGGACTATTCACGCGCGTCGTGCAAAGACGAGTATACTCAAGCGTCATTTTACTTTGAGCGCCTATCAAATCCGTCAGTTTACCGACTGAATAGCTTAAAATCTAAAATACAAATATTTTTTCTTGAATGTAGTAATAATATTTATACAGTGTAGTATCCAAATATGGTAAAAACTGAATTTCGTATTTTTTTCAAAACCGACACTATTCTACGACTATGACGATATATTTAAATTTAAATCATATAAATCAATTTACTACCACTCTTTCTAATCGCAGACACATTTTAGACCTCTGTTTTCTTCATAAATTAATTAATAATAACATACAGTACAATAATCTATTAAAAAAAATATCTTTAAATATTCCTGTCTTACCCCAGACATAAAATAGTTAAAATATTCCACACACAATTTTGCAGAACTAATTTAGGCCAACAATCACCCATAAATAGAATCCTCAACCAGTACAATAGTATACAAATTCATGGTCCATGGTCAAACCTGCAGTATTATGCTTTGATTATTATTAATTTTAATTCTAACGCTACTACATTACATTAAATTATTTGCAAGCTGATTGCTTCTGGTTAAGTATTCAGATTCGAAATGTTCATGGCAAATCCGACGTAGTTTGAAAATAACACTATTTTTTGACGACTGGATGGCGCAGTGGTTTGTGTAACGGACTGCTATTCCAAAGTTCTGCTATTCCAGTCACTCGTGAGCTTTCGCACGGCGCAGTCGAACCGCTTTCGTGTTCTGGCAGTTAGTGACATTTACCCTCACATCTTCAAAAAAATAAAAATAAATGACGAAGTGTGATAATTGTGATAAAATTATTACAAAAAAGTCACCAGGACTTGAATGCAATAAATGTGGAAAGTTAGTACACGCCAACCAGTTATGCACAGGTCTATCGTCGAAACAACTATCAGCACTACGCAACGCTGAAAACCTGGAATGGACATGTGAAGAATGCCATCGGGACTCACCACGTCGTAAGTCATATGTCATGCCAATAAAACCAAAATAATTCATGTCCGATCCAACCACTTATTTAGTTACGACAAACCAATCGAAGTAGTAGCTCACTGTCACCGATGCTTGCATGAAATTAAATATAACAACCATACATGTAACTGTGAACTATTGGAGCAAGTATCAAACTATAAATACCTAGGTCTAGTAGTGGATGACAGATTTAACTGGGGCTACCACATCAATACAATTTGTGACAAACTGAGAACAATTTTAGCGAAATTTGCAATACTAAAATATAAGGTTCCTTTTAAAGTACTACTGAATTTATACATTGCCCTTGGTGAGTCAATAATTTCATATGGAATCACTAGCTACGGAAGAACATTCAAAACCTGCTTAGATATAATACACAATTTGCAGCTACGAATTCTAAAAACTATAACAAACAAACAAACAAACAAGTTTATTGAACCATCAAAGTTACATTTTGATAGGTGCTCTGTCTCCTAAACTAGGTTGATTAACCTGTATCTTAGGAGTCAGTGCCTTCCTTAATTAGAGGTACAATGGTTTTACAATATAAGTTATAAATTATTTATAAATCATGATAATGGAATGTACTTGTGGACATACGTATATATGTCAGTGTGTGTGTGTGTGTGTGTGTGTCTGTATCTTTGTGTCAGTGTGTGTGTGTGGTCGGATTTATGCGTAACCGATGTTTTTAGTTTTCACGCTTATTTAAACTGGTTGCGCAGAAGGGATTCAATTTGGTCATAGTCCATACCCTTGAGTTTAGCCAGTAAGTATACCTTAAACTTATGTCTACTTAATTTCTCAGAGCTTTTGGTGTATAGTCGGTTATATAAACTCGGTGCCAAGTAATCATAGTCCCGCTGGGCAAAACTGGATTGAACCTTAGGTACGGGGCATCGGAATCGTCTTTTGTTTGTATTAGGTAGGTAAGGAATGGCGGCTCGGTGGTATCTTTGTAGCACCTGGTATACGTAAAGCTTACGAACGGTCAGGACCTCGGAACGCGTGTAGAGATCAGTTGTTGGGTGTCGAAACGGTAGGTACATAAGTACTTTTAGGATGGCACGCTGAGCACGTTCAAGTTCGTCACCCCAAGAACAGATGCAGTAGTTTACCACACACTCGCAGAGAGCTTTATAGGTCTGTATTAAAAGTTTAGTATTTGAAACTGTTCTCATTTGCTTGAATATGTAAATCAATCTCCTGACTCTGCCAGTGAGATGCGAAATATGTGATCCCCATTGCAGCTTCGCATCGACAATAACTCCTAGGTATTTTAAAGATGTTGCCCGAGTCAGAGAGCACCTGCATGGGTCACGGTTTATAAGGTTATTACACGAAAAACTATGAATTTTTATGCTAATTTGCGAAGTTGGGAGAGAAGCACTGGTTTTGCAGAAACATATAAATTTTGTCTTACCGGTGTTCAGAGTCAGGAGATTATTTTCGAGCCATCTTGACACTATCGCGAGACCATCTTCAGCCACAGTTTTCGTTTGCTCCCACGTATGGCCATGAAAAAGAATGACCGTGTCATCGGCAAACATTATGACTTCCGCGTTGGGTAGTGCCAGTTCCGCCAGACCATTTATATAGGTTAGGAACAACGTCGGTCCAATGGTGCTGCCCTGCGGAATGCCGAAAGTACAAACCGCATCATCACTCAAGTAGTTTCCCACTCTTACTCGCTGTAGTCTACCCGATAGAAAATCTTGGAACCATTGATGAACGTGACTTCTAATACCCATTTTGTCGAGCTTCCATAGAAGGATAGGAATCGATACTGTATCGAAGGCTTTTTTCAGGTCAAGGAAAATGCCAATTACTTTATGACCCATGTCAACATGCTTGGTAATAGTAGTGGTTAAGCGGAGTACAGCATCGTCTGTGGAAACTCCTCGTCGAAATCCAAATTGATTGGGTGAAAATAGTTGATTTGTCTCCAGGTAGCTCACAAGTCTTTTGTTAATACCAGACAAAATAAAAAACACAGTGTGCGCTGGTGACAATGCCAGTGCCTGTTTAAATATTGTAAAATATTGCCAATACAACTAAAAATAAAAATGTAGCTCTTAATCGAACAATATCATAATAAAAAATTACAAATAAAAATAAATCATAAAATAATAACACGGAAAATAACTCACTCAAAATTAGAAGTGCCCAGAAATATTAATTATTATGGAAAACGAACTAACAGATATTTAATACCATCTTTTATTAATGACATTCCAATAAAAATACAAACTGAATTAACGGATAAGAACTATAAATATAAATATAAAAAATACTTCATTTCTATGCTGTAATAACATAACATACCAAACCGTGATAGTAGATGAATCGAACAAAGTGCAACATCCTGTGCAATGTGCAACACTCCTTCTACATAACTACACCACATAGCGCAACACAGATCGCAGCGGCCGGCTCGAGAACCGGTTTCTTAGCGATAAGGAGTATTAGCCTATTGTCGGTTCTATGTTATAAACATTGTTTTTAGTTTTAAGTTATTTCTAAGTGAAATGATGTTAACAGATTGCTCAAGGGGGATTTAACGTCCAGACAAACCTGTTAAGGTTTTCTGACGTTTTACAGCTAACACCGTAATGTATTTTTTGTGTCAATATGGAAAAAAAAAGGTCGCGGGTTCGATTCCCGCTCAAGTCGAACATTTGTGTGCATGAACATTTGATGTTTGATTTGGTCTGGGTGTTTCTATGTATAATATGTATGTATTTACAAAAAAAAAAGTATATATGTATTTATATCAGTTGTCTAGTACCCATAGTACAAGCTCTGCTTAGTTTGGGACTAGATGGCATTGTGTGTATGTGGTAGAATATATTATATTATTATTTTCAAGCGCTAGAATGTCACCACCGACTGCATAGATCCAAGTTCGAAACTTCTCCATATCCACATTCGGATTAGGAAACAAATGCATTATCGTATTGTTTGAGCCTGCAAATATATCAGTTAAGGTGACTTTTCTTTCATAAACCTGGTCTAATCCAAAGCCAACATAAATGTTATATTTACTTACGAATATTATCGCAGTTAGGTACACAACACTTATGCACCGACATTGTCACCAAAAACCAAAACGGAAGCTTAAATAAAATGTCCAATAATACACGCCGATGGTCAGATAATAATATAGATAACAGAGTCCGTAAGCAGTCCAAGTCAAAGTTCAAAAATCCACGAAATCGCTGAGAAAGTACGTCCATTCACTCGAAAGTTAAAACAGAAGCAAGAAGTGTCAAAAACTTAAAATGTCAAAACTTAAGAAAGCGGGAAAAGATACGTTTTTTTATTTATTTATCAAAAATTTATTAAATTAAAGAACAATGGCAAGTCCCCATACATAATTTTATTTAAAGTAAAATGGTAGCGTTTAAATATCAAAAATATCTCAAACACTTGAGAATTTATACTTGACCATTCTCATAATAAAATAACTAGCGAAAGAAGTCTGGGAAAAAAGATTGGATTTTGAATATGTCGAGGTTAAGTACTAACATATTGTTAATGACGTTTGTTTGACATGTTAATACTTCTAGCAACCTTATTTTAGCCGACCGTTTAAAAGGGTGGAAGTTATTTGCTAGGTGTAATAGTAGCTATTTCTGTATGCTGACAGATTGCATTCTGATACAAGTCAACTAAGGAATCAAAACTTATGCAGATACAATCACTGCGAGAGAAGGAAAACTCGAAACTACATCCTATACACTAACAAACTGTCAGGGAAGCTTAGTATAAGAAGTCTAAATTCCTCTTTATTTTTGAAAAGTCTAAGTC